GGCTATGCTTATTCTTACATGTGGTATCAGAGCCATTGAATTTAACAACTAAATTCGATCAAAAATCGTTTCCTAAAATCTGCAACATATAAAGTCTATCTATTTGGTTTTCTGAAGAACAAGGAGTGTGACGTCGTTTTGTGCGAATAATTTTTTATTAAATGACTCTTGGCTGCCCAAAAGAAAACTGGGTTCTTTAAACTATTTTTAAAAGTTTTATAACCATTATCGATTCAAAAGAAGAAAACAACCAGCGATCTTTTGATCATGTCTGCAGACATCTTCATCTTGTTTGTCTCTAGAAGATCCATGTAAGTGATCTGTTAACATCAAATCTCACCAAAATATAATTATATATTTCTGGTAACTATTGCTTCCGTTGCGTTGTTAATGATGTCTACAACTTATGGTATTTTCTGTTTTTCTGATCTCTCTTGTATTAATAATGGTCATAAATATAGAAAGATGTTCTGGGTTTTCAAACCATGATGTCGTACAATGCTTATGAAATATTTACAGACTTTATTTGCATTTTATTGACCCGCATGCTGTTTCTTTTGGTTTTTGATGTTTCAATTGAAATCGCGACTGTAACAATGGCAATGCACTTCGATAATCTGCAATGGTACGAGGTCCATAGGAATTTGGAGTGATGGCAATCCATATGGATGGGTCTCAAGCATTGATGGATAATTTATTTCGTTGATTTGGAGCCAAGGAATTGCAATCGGGTTGACGAATACGGGTCCAATGATGCATTCAGGTAACTCACTTCACTGTTTCATGCATGATTAATTGTTCTCCTATATGCGTGATTATAGTTCGATGAGTTGGAGCATAATGAATTAGGGCTTTTGCTATTTCGAGTATGCTTGTTTATTTATATATATTGTGAAGGCATGATTAAACTCGAAATCCCTATAAATGCCAACTTGTGATTTATGTGAGATGTCTGGAATCATCCTTTGCTGCATAAATAAATTAGTGTATGTCTAGATATACTCTTCTATTTTTCATTAAAGAGTCAATGTGTATGCATTTTTTCATGTATGAATCTCGATACATTTAAATTGCGGGGAGCTACACATGCACATCTTAGTGTCAATTCCTGATTTTCAATTGGTTTGATTTATATCAAGTTTGGGTTGGAATGGATTTGACTGCATATCATATGCAAGTCAGGAGGTATTATAAAGCGACAAAAATAAATGCATATATAAAGTGGATGCAAATTGCTTTGTGATTTATACATAATAGCATATTTGAAATGAAATCTGTATATATATGGAGATAGCATTCGTGCATAGACGTTGTAATTATGGGCATGCGTTTTTATATATATCAAATGGAACTTGCATAAGTTTCTCTGCATATTGATGCATGCATGCATACAAAAAAAAAAAAAATATATATATATATATATATATATATATATATTATATATATATATAGGAATTGCTTAAGGGGAGGGATCCCCATTTTTTTTCAAAAAAAATGGGGACACGCTCCCCACCGTTGGATTTGAATTAAATGAAATCCTGTGGTTGAGATTCTATGGCCTGTGTTTTAATCTCAACCACACAATTTCATTAAAGTCAATCTAACGGTGGGGAGCGTGTCCCCATTTTTTTTGAAAAAATGGGGATCCCTCCCCTTAAGCTCCCTGTATATATATATATATATATATATATATATATATATATATATATATATATATATATATATATATATATATGAAAAGATGAATATATAAGGTAGATGTTTTATTGACTGCCTATAATGAGTCTTGTGACAATAAACTTTTAGCCATTTACAATATATATATTCTATTATGAATCGGAAAGCAAATAATTATTTTGTCATCTTATTGGAAATTCATAAGATTAATGATATGTGGCTATCGTTATTTTCTCCAAGGACTTGCTTACGAATCTGTATATAATTGATGATGGTGTTGACAATGAATTAAAGGCATGAATATTTTTTTTTTTTTTGGATTATTGTCGACTAATCTTATCATGTATATATCGATGCATGCTTATTGTATATGTATATTTTGTGATTTCATGATGCATGCTTCCGCTATTATATTTTGGTTGAAATCACAAATAGGGAGGAAGATGAACTTCGAGTTCTCCAGAAGAAATAGTGGTCTTGATTATCTCGTTTTAATCAAGACATGTTGTTGTGATATATATCCAGACATTATCAAAATTTGGTTGATCTTGCTCGATGGATATTGAACTAGTTAGGATCAAATTGAATGCAAAAATATTGTGCTTGCTATTCTGATTTTGATCATTGTTGAAACTAGTGATTTTGGGTTTATGTGAGATAAGTTTTTCCGAATGGATTGTGACTATCTTTTGATACATAGACTGTTTGCATAATGGTTTAGGTGTATTTGACTAAACTGAGATTATGCAATTGGTAAGGAATCGGGAATCAATTGGTTCATATCTCTGGTTTCTTTATTGGCTGTGCAGTACATTCTGCTTATGCTTAAGTGGGAGAAGAATGTAAGCATAAGGTTAATTAGGCCGGCCATTATAATCCATTTGGATGCTTGAAAACCAGATTATGGTATTGAAGCAATTGGTAATTATTTATGTTACTTAATTTGTTTAAGTAATGAGAAGTTTAGTGCTATTTGCTGGAACTAAACTTAACTTGATATAGTGGGAGCAAATCAATTTGTGTGTTTGTTCTAGTCAAGTAAAATCACATTGTTGTAAATACAAATTGGATGAATGTGATCATGGAATTTGTTTGCATATTTGTTGCGGCAATTGATCACATTGATAAGACATTCAGTGTATTGCAATGACCATTAGTTAATACAGTTGATATTAACTTATACTTAACTTGTTTGTGTTAAGTATAGCCCAGTTAAGTGGGAGCAAATTGGTTTGGTTTTTGCTATATTGGTTCACATAATTACAAAGTGCAAATTAAGTATGTTGTGACTTTTGAGTTAATTCTGCGATGTAACAGAAAAGATTCTTAAGTTCAATACTTTAAAATGCATAGGTAAGTTGTATGTGAGGTTAAGCTTTTGTTATCCAAAAGATTTTGTGGCTATATGAGTGGGAGTAGACGTCTTGGTTTACTTTTGTGAACATGAACTAGACATTGTGATTTGTAAGTTAAATCTGTATTTTGTGTTGCAGAGGCAATTATAAATTCATTGTTTTGGTTTATGTAAGCTGGTTGTGTCTATGTACTAGTGTGTTGATGAATGACTTATGTCATCACCTTTATATTGAATTTGAGATGATTATTTACTGTTGTGAATCATACTCAAGTGGGAGAATGTTAGAGTATGAGTGTGATTCTCACAGTTTAGTAATAATCATTGTTATTTCAGATTGGTATAAAGATGTCTTAATGTGTTTATAAGAGTTAATTCAACTTTGGTTTGGATTGAAACTCTACTGTTGGCTCGAGAATAGAACTCATACTTATACAAGGATTTGGTCTTGTATTCCTTGTAGGATTGTAATAGGGCAATCTATGTTTAGTATAAAAACATAAGCCACTGCTCTCACAAAAGATACGCTCAATATTGAACTAAGACCTATTGTTAGTTTGAGTACTTTTGATTTTGCAAGAGAGGAGAAGCTTGTGTGTAGATTCGTCCATGTCTTCTTCATCCATGAACATGTCTATGTTAAACTTAGAAACACGGCAGCTTTTCAAATCAATTTCATATCTCAGGCCTTACGGGAAGGCTTTGTTACATACACTACAACATACAAACTTTACAATTTACCGAGAACGCCGTTATTGAAGGAACTGTTTTTCAAAGATTTCCTCCGGACTTGCTTAAGAAGTTGAGTATAGATTATCTTGTAATGCAAAACCATAAATATGGAATCTCACCAAAGAGGCTTATGGAGAACGAGAATCTGTCGAGTTTCTTTAAGATCTTGACAACTTGTACTGATGAAGATGATAAGGTCTATGTGTCCATAGTACACGCATACAACTATCCTGTGACTGCCTTCCAATGACATCCAGAGCTACACCATCTGTTGTCTTCTGACAGCACACATGGGAAAAACTTCGTCAAACAGTCTGCAGGTACGTGTTGCAGATATTACTTCAGTATTTGCATATGTAGAACATATTTGATGCGTTGGTTGTGATTTAGTTGCTAAATTCTTGTGTTCTTGGCTAAGTATATTATAAAGGCTATGCTTATTCTTACATCAAGATCTCATAGGGTCTTGTAATGAATGGTATGATGAGCTCATAGGCTCACGTAGCTTCTCTCTCCCTAGTAGTCATGTAAATGTTGAGGAAAGAATGAATATATGCAGTAGAGCATTTTTTGGCTCTCACTGAGATATTTTGAGAACTCTCTCTGCCTCTTCACTTTCTCTCTAAACTTCTTCTTCCTATACACATTTTCTAAAATACATCACTGCATAACAGGAAAGTCCAACATGATCTTCATCAGCAACATCCTTATGCTGCAACAAGTTTGTCACTAAATTCTTGTTTAGTTAGTGACTCACGGTGGAACGAAAGGGTTGGGTAACTCGGGTTAATCACGCTAGCTAACTCATGAACCCGAGTTCCCAATGTTCAAAATTGAGTTTGTTTACTTCTACAAACTAAATAATAATAATTTATCGTATATAAACAGTCACTTTTGTTCAGCACCAAGAAGATGAGTAAATGTCCTTTGTTTGTCCTGATTAACGAATAATGTTACGCAGAAACTGGGAATTAATTGCAGCATCATCACATCTAGCTATATGCGAGTGTAGTTCCCGTAACCTATATATGAGTGCGCTATATGTTTAAATTCCGTGAGCAGCGATTGGTTGTCTTGATGAAATTTCGGCCTTCTGAGTTCTGAGTGTTTTAGTTCCCCTTCCACCAATTCTTGCTGAGTTGCTGGTGTGGTGCATCCATTGAAAATTTGGAGCTAAAACCGCGCATATACATACTTGGTGTACGTATACACATACATGTATTTCATTAACTGGCTCTGAATATATAAGAAATAATTTATTCATGTGACTGAGATACAAATACATGCTACAGTAGCAAATACTTCATACTAGCTAGTATATGATCTCAAATAACCGTATATGAGGTAAGTTATCATTATTAAATAGTCACATATATAAAACCCAACGAAGAAAATATTTCACTACATACGTGTATTGTATATATAGAATATACCATGGGAACTGCGGACTAATTTAAGCTAAGGTCGAAGTTACTTCTGTCACATTTGCTTGATGAATTTTCAAGCCCCCCTTCCATTTTCCACTCCAGATTTCATACAGACCAAAGTGAAGCATGTTATCGACACTAGCGGGCAGAACTTCAATTCTCAATGGCGGGCTGGTTTTGTCAGGAATTGTGAATCTGCCTACATTTGGATCCTGCACTACTTTAACTTTGGTCCATTTGTACTTGCCCCTTTTCCCTACCTTGGCCATCAAGAAAGCTTGTATGTCTCTCCAACCAAATGCACAAGGTGTCAGTTCTACGTCAAAGCTGATTTGGTACGTCTTCGTAGGTATTAAACTAACTGAGCCGGTTACTTCTAGCCAAGAAACCTGTTTCAGCTCCGCAGGGTCATTAGAGTCACCTTTGGATAGCCTGAAAATTGTATAGTATGTAGCCAATTATTCACATAGGCGAAGCCAAAACAAAAGGGCTTGGTGATATTAGAAATGGAAACTCCCATATATAAATTGCATATTATTTTTTGTCATATGCCCGATGTGGAATCCTATTCTTCAACAATATTTAAACGTTAACAAGTGCATAATAACAAACGGGAACTGTGTCTAAACATTACATTTACCAAACACAGATCTCAGAAGGCAGGAGAAGAACACATAAGCGGAGTAAACACGTAGTTCCCATACTTGTGAGAAATGATATTAGCATTTTCAGATGTATATAACCAATTACATTTAAGATTTTGTCGTAGTTCCAGATAATTTATTCCTTACTTCTTAGGTAATTTCCAGTGGTGTTCAACATTGCCCCATACAATGCTAAGTCCCCGTGGGTTGAGGATGTAACTATCTCCCTGTAAACACGAAAATACAATTAATCTCTTTTTAACAGAAAGGGATTAGATATATGCGAAAGCTTGTTTTCCGATGTTAACAAGATTTAGCAATGAATTAAGAAATTTGTGAGGCCTTACCCGTTTTGTTATTTCATCTTCCTCTGCTTGGAAATGAGGTTTAGTACTCAGAGACATTTCGAAACCTAACTCGGTTTTCTTCTTCTTATTCTTTCTTCTGCCGCTGCAGTTATGTTTTCTTCTTTTTTTCTGGCTTTTTTTTTATTTTTGCCGATGTTTTGATTTTTAGAACCTCTAGTCTACCTCCTTTATATAAACCCTTGATCCATTGGGAAGAAAAGTATCTGATGCTTCCAGAAAACAAAACGAAAATGAGAAACTAAAACAAATTAATAATGAAATTGAATTATGTATAGAGAATCAAGTATTGCTTTCGACTTTTTAGAAGGTTCTTTTTTTGTCGAAAGGGTTCCTTAGCTTTTTAAAAGAAGAATATATATATGTAGATGGATTGCTAGTAAACGGTATTGAATAAATGTTCCAACGTGTGATACGTTCTTAAAACTTTGTCAACCTATTTTCTTCGATTGCTATGTAAAATATGAATTTGTATTAGAATTAAGCCAAACTTTATAAATAAATAAAACAAATTTAACAATATCAATTGCTGGCGAGAACAGAAGTACAACTAGCTAGACCACGAGCAAGTTTGTTTTGTAATACAAATGTTAAATGTGCCAAATTCTATATCCCAAGTTCTTTCTTGAATTGAAGAGTTAAAATGAAAACCTTTTCACCCTATAAATCCAAAGCACAGATAATTAAGTTAATAATTTCTAGGTTAAGTAGATGGATAGATTATGATCTAAGATTTCTACTACTAATATTTTTCAACGAACGAAACTAGCCACTTATAAAGGGGTTTGGCTTTGCATGCATGCATACTACGTACCATGCAAGCTGGCTTTGCCAACCGAATGCACACTGACAAGTGACATTTATAGAGCTTTTCTGGATCAGCTTGATCTCAGTTTTCAACGGTGGCCGCCATTTCATCAAGAAACTGGCATCCATTACAGGTACAAGAATAAATATTAAGAATATATTGTTTCTTAATTTTCATTGCCTTTTCGCTTTTCGGGAGGCAAATTGACACGCCCCGACCCTGATATTCCCTGAATACCAGGATAGACACGTGCTGGCCGACACCCGAGGGTGACGAAAGCCATTAATTGATACAAAAGCTAGGAATAAGAAATAAATATAGGTTATGAATTTAAAAACAATGAATTAACAATTTAGGAACGTGTTCAGTGATGAAGCTAATGATTCCCACGCTAATGATTCCCACTAGCTGTCCACTAATAATCCCACTAGCTGTTGTACAACCTGGACAACAGAAGGAATGCTCCCACTAGCTGTTGTACAACCTGGACGACAGAAGGAATACTCCCAGCCAGACAATCACATGTTTTCTGCCACCTTTATTGTTGTTTATTGCATGCTTGTACTGCCACCTTTATTGTTGTTTATTGCATGCTTGTATGTAAACTGTATATAAACCATGCTGCCATTGCAGCAGCGGAGTGGAATGATAAGTTATCAAAGACAATATTCTTTATGGTATCCAGAGCCATCTGTCTAACGACAAAACATCCTGCATCTGTTTCCTCCTTCCTCTAACCCAGCAAGCTCGCAACTGTATTTTTTTTTTTTTTTCTGTCTTCCCTTCTTCTCAAATTTTCTTCCGCTTCCATGGCTGCTTCTTCTTCTCTTCTTACCAGCTCCCTTCCTAATATTTCCTATCTGGTTTCCATCAAACTTGATCGAACCAATTACATGTTGTGGCTTGCCCAGTTTAATCCCTTACTTAAAAGTAATGATCTTGTTGCCTATGTTGATGGTACAAAAACATGTCCAACCAAGTTTCTTGAGAATACTACTACTCTCAATCCCGAGTACGTAACTTGGCAGCGACAGGACCAACAATTGTTAAGTTGGATTAACTCAACTTTGACACCCAATGTGCTTTCCATCGTCGCAACCTGTGACACATCCCGAGCTGCTTGGAATACTCTGAAAACACGTTTTGCTTCTCAATCTCGCACCCGTGTTCTTCAACTTAAGCACCAGATGCAGTCCACTAAACGAGGTAACATGTCCATCACAGACTACGTTGATAAATTAACTAACTTTGCTGATCAACTGGCTCTTGCGGGAAAACCTGTTGATGACGATGATCTTATGGAGCTGATTTTGAATGGTGTTGGTCCTGCTTTCGAAAGTATAGTTACTTCGATTCAAGCAAGAGAAAATCCTATGAGTCTTGACGATATGGTTGCTTTGCTCTTAAGCGCTGAAAGCCGTATGGACGACTATAGCACTACTTTCAGTCCTGATCACACCACAACAGCTCTCTTTGCCCCTTCTGGCTCCACTCCCAATCCTGGTCGTGGAACCACACTTCACCGAGGACATGGTCGTACATCCTCATTCCGTCGTGGTGGTTTTTAAGGTCGTGGCTTTTATCAAGGTCGCGGTGCTGGTAATCCCTTTGTTGGCCGCCGTGGTGGTTCAAACAGTGGTTTGTTTCATGGTGGATCCGGTCGCGGCTCGTTTCAGAATCAAGGACTTCTTCCTACACCAAATGCTGGTCTTCGTCGCTCTCCCTATCTTCCCAACCATGCTGCGCATGCTCCTTCTTCCTCTAATATTTGTAACTATTGTGGTGATCATCGTCATTCTACCGCCAATTGTTTCAAGTCTCCTTTTTCCGAAGGCCGCTATCCACAATCTCATGCTATGATGGCTGCCTCTCCTGTGGTTAATGCACGGTCCCCTACATGGTATACCGACAGTGGCGCATCGTCACACATCACCAATGATTTAGCTAATTTGAGCCTCTCCACAGAATATACTGGCCAGGACCAAGTCGCGGTTGGTAATGGTGCAGGTTTGTCTATAAAGCATATTGGTTCTGGTTTCGTGTCTCAATTTCCTTTAAATTCTGTGTTGCATTGTCCTTCTGCTTCTGCTAATCTACTGAGCGTTCATCGCTTTTGTTGTGATAATCATTGCTACTTCATTTTCACTCCTACTGATTTTTTTGTGAAGGATCTATCCACGGGGAAGACGCTTTTCCACGGCAAGAGTGAGAATGGATTGTATCCGTTTCGTGTGGGTTTGTCGAAGTTTCCTTTCAAGAACGTGGCATTATTTGGACAACGAACCTCTTCATTTATGTGGCATCAGCGTTTTGGTCATCCATCTCCTGCAATTTTTACAAAAATTATGTCCTCTATTCCTATTAAGGATTCTAAGTTCCCTCGTTTTTGCTCTTCTTGCCCATTGGGCAAAAGCACTAAATTACCTTTTGCTTTGTCTCCATCAGTTTCAGTCTGTCCTCTTCAATTGATTCATTGTGATGTTTGGACTTCACCAATTGTCTCTGTTAAGGGTTCCAAGTATTTTATAATATTTCTTGATGATTACTCTCGTTATACTTGGATATTTCCTATGAGATTTAAACATGAAGCTTTTTCTTATTTTCAAATATTTAAATTGCTTGTTGAAAATCTTCTATCTATTCATACTGTTTATAAGATAAAATCTTTCCAAACTGATGGCGGGGGTGAATTTATGAGTAAGGAATTTCAACAATTTTTAATTAATAATGGTATTGAGCACCGGTTAACATGCCCTCATACTCCTGAACAAAATGGTGCTGCTGAACGGAAACAACGCCATATTGTTGACATGGGTCTTACTTTACTTGCCACTGCTAAAATGCCTTCTTCTTTTTGGGTGGATGCTTTCAACACCTCAGTTTATTTAATTAACCGTCTTCCAGCACGCCAATTGAATTATGTTTCGCCTTATGAAAAATTGTTTAGTCGCAAGCCCTCTTATTTATGTCTTCGTGTTTTTGGTTGCGCTTGCTTTCCCTATTTACGCCCTTATAATAAAAATAAATTGGAATTTCGTTCAAAACAATGTGTTTTCATTGGTTACTCACTTCATCATCAAGGCTATCGCTGTTATGATATGTCAAATGGACGAGTTTATTTGTCACGTCATGTGGTTTTTGATGAGGAAACTTTTCCTTTCGACAACCCTACACAATTCTCCTCAGTCCTGCCGTCAGAAGCTTACTCTCCCGTGGTTATCACTCATTCTCCCTTACCACCAATCCCTCAGGTACCTTCATCATCTCATATTTCTATTCCTCATACTCTAACATCCTCTTCTAGTGCAGCACCTCTTTTCCCATTGCAACCTTCCTCAAGTTCACCATTGTCTACACCTTCACTTTCCTCGCCACCTCATTCTCAACCTGCTCCTGATAGCTCTGACAGTTTGATTTCCATTAATGAGGCTCCTCCACCTTCCTCCGCTTTTGCTCCCCATCCCATGCTAACTCGGTCTAAATCTGGCATTCGAAAACCAAACCCCAAATATGCTTTATTGACATCATTACAAGCTCCTGATTCTGAACCAACCTCGTTTCGCGAGGCAAATCAATTATCTCATTGGCGTGATGCAATGACATTGGAGTTTAAGGCCTTGAAAGCTGCTGGTACATGGGAATTGGTACCTTCTTCAACTGCTACTCATGTTCTTCCTTGCAAGTGGGTTTATCGCACAAAGAGGAAATCTGACGGTACAGTGGAGCGATATAAAGCTCGTCTTGTCGCCAATGGATTTCATCAAACGATGGGTGTTGATTACACGGAGACGTTTAGTCCGGTGGTTAAGCATGTTACCATTCGTCTGGTTCTTGCCCTTGCAGTTTCTTATAATTGGCCTATACGCCAACTTGATGTCCAAAATGCGTTTTTGCACGGGAATCTCTCTGAAGAAGTTTTCATGAAACAACCACATGGTTTTGAAGACCCCGAGTATCCTCATCATGTTTGTCGTTTACGCAAGTCCTTATATGGCTTAAAACAAGCCCCAAGAGCATGGTTTCATCGTTTTTCTGAATATCTTCTTGATTTGGGTTTTGTGGCATCACAAGCAGATCATTCTCTCTTCATTTTTAATAATCATGGAGTGTATTTGATTCTTCTAATCTATGTTGACGACATCCTTATCACAGGCAATCAATGCTCTCATGTTGACTCCCTTATCCATGCACTTGGTCAGAGTTTTTCTATGAAAGATTTGGGACCCCTCCATTTTTTCTTAGGTCTTGAAGCAACTCGTGGAGCTGATGGGTTACATCTAAAGCAGACAAAATATGTTCTCGATTTGTTGCAGCGTGTAGATATGTTGGACGCCAAGCCTTGTGCTACTCCAGCTCAATCTAGCTCCCCACTTCATTCTCTTGATGGTGTTCCCTTGCCTAATCCTACCAGCTACCGCAGTGTGGTTGGCGCTCTGCAATACTTAACCATCACCAGACCTGACATCACGTATGCAGTCAATCAGGTATGTCAGCATATGCACCAGCCCACCTCAGTTCATTGGATTGCAGTAAAACGCATCCTTCGTTACTTAAAAGGCACACCTGAGGATGGGCTTCAGTTTAGTCGCGGTGGTACTAATTTGGTTGGATTTTCAGACTCGGACTATGCCGGGGATCCAGATACTAGACGCTCCACTGGTGGTTTTTGCGTATATTTTGGTCCAAATTTAATATCTTGGAGCTCCAAAAAGCAACGCACAGTTGCTCGTTCAAGTACCGAATCCGAATATCGGCAGTTGGCCATCACGGCAACTGAACTCGTTTGGATCCAACAACTGCTGCAGGAGCTTTGCATCCGTATTTCGACTCCTTTAATTTGGTGTGATAACACAAGCTCCATTGCATTGGCATCTAATCCCGGGTTCCATGCTCGAACAAAACATGTTGGCTGTCCACTAATAATCGCACTAGTTGTTGTACAACCTGGACAACAGAAGGAATACTCCCACTAGCTGTTGTACAACCTGGACGACAGAAGGAATACTCCCAGCCAGACAATCACATGTTTTCTGCCACCTTTATTGTTGTTTATTGCATGCTTGTACTGCCACCTTTATTGTTGTTTATTGCATGCTTGTATGTAAACTGTATATAAACCATGCTGCCATTTCAGCAGCGGAGTGGAATGATAAGTTATCAAAGACAATATTCTTTATTCAGAGCATACAACTAAACCTAGTCACTAACAGGAATTAAGATAAGATTGAATGAACAAATGAGTGGGTCCTACCCCGAGAGAGCTCGAAGATGCCACTACGGAAGTACCTTGATGCCGGGATTCTATGCCGCATTCCTAAGACCTGAATGGGGGCACAAAACAAGGGTGAGTGGACCAAGTTTATATACATACATAGTACGAAAATAGTTATGAACATACTAACTCCCTCCCGGCCCAATGCCTGTCTCCGTGTCCCTCAGCCTTTCGCTAGGGATTATTTCTCCCGGCCTCAATGCCAACACCAGATCCTCGCCCCAGGCGGCATAGTGTTCACTAGGTACGCACAAAACATAATTCATCTCTAAAATACAACTTCGTAGCCTAAATTCATCGATCCTCTATACTACGAAGAGGTGTTCGAAAGTCATTTGAAACACATTCTTAGCATCCTATCGTCATCGATCAGATAGTCTACCAGAATGAGGGTTCTATAGAAAATACGATATAATGGAAATAATTCAAAACATATATATATAATCACGTATAATCAAATCATCATGCTTCCTGTAAAGTATTCCTCAAATCAATAATTCTGCAAGGCATGCTATTAAATTATGCAATTCTATCAATAAAACATGCAATTTTCGAAGGTGGTCCACTCACAGATACTCCGAAGCAGCAGAATTGTGCGGAAAAAGATTAAGGAAGTCTCCACTAGCAACTTCACCTAAGCACGAAAATGTACATTTAGTAAACTACCCAAAAGATAGAATTTTAGGGAATGGAAATGGGTCTTGGGTTTGGATCCGGATTAAGGTTTAAGTTTAAGTTAAATAACGTTAGGACCTATTGGGTTTTGGGTCCTAAGGGTTTAGGGTAAAAGGGTGGTTTGGGCTCGGGCCCAAACCTACATACACACACTCACACCTACACACACACTCACACACGGACACACATACATATACTTACACACCAGCACACACACACACACTCCCACGCATGCGCGCACACACTTGCATATACATATACATATATGAACACACACACACACACGGTATGCATAAGCATGCACTGCACACACATATTTGCATATATATAAATACATATATAAACACGCGCACACACACAGCATGCATTAGCATGCGCTGCACCCCACACATGCACATATATATATATATATATATATATATATATAAACACACACACACACGCACAGTATACTTGCACACACACACATGCATATATATATATATATATATATATATATATATATATATATATATATACACACATATGTAAACACACACACACGCACAGCATACTTGCACACACACACACAGTTCACGCACACACACCCACACACCTGCACCACGTACACACTGCACAAACACACACTCACGAACTCGCCGGAGTTCGTCGTCGGAACCGGACATGCATGCACATGGGATGGCAAGGGTTAGGGCTTGAATAAAGGGTTCTAAAACTTCACAAATATACCCAAGAACTCACCTAGACGCACTGCAGCAGGTTTTGGGAAGAGATGGACCTCGAACTCGTCGGAGTTCATCGTCAGAGCTAGATTATTGACACAGAGAAAAACTGAGATCAAAACCCTTGAGTTTTGTCATAAAACCAACAAGCATAACCCAGAAATTTGAAGAAGGAACACAATCTTTACCTGGGTTCGAGTTTTAGAGCTTTGAAGCTCTCGGCTTCAATGGTATAAAAACCCACGGTGCTCAGATGGCGCATGCAAGGGTACCATTGAGTTCGTTAGGTCTCAAGGATTCCAAATATATGGTTTTTGGGGTTTGATTTGTGAAGGAAATGAGGTGAAAGTTAGAGAGAAGCTCTCGGAGCTTAGAGAGTGTGAGAAAGAGAGAGAAGAAACCGAAAGAAAGAGAGCTGTGAGATTCTGAGATGTGTTTCGGGCAGAGATGAAAGGAAAGAGGGATCTGAGAGCTGCCACATGGCAGTTTAAGATCAATAGCCTTTCTAGATCAAGGGTTAGGATTAAAAGAGAATAAGGGACTAAATTGATAGAAAACAAATATGTTCTAGGAGAAAATAGAAATAGAATGAAAATATGGGGGTGGAGTTTAACACAAATCATATATAAGTTTACCATCAAACACATAATTGTGACAGAAGAGAAACTGTTAGATGCATGAATCCCCTAGGGCTGCTGCCTATTGGTTTCTTTTCCAAGGGTATATTATATATTTTGCAACTCACACGTTTGGTGACGCAACGCATTTCGATATATGGATCCCCTCGAATATCACTATCTAGGTGCCAAACGCATCCGGAGTTAATGGAATAGGACCATCACTAGATCCCAATTGTAAACTTGTAAACCAAAACAAGTTGACAAAATACACCTTTCGATTTCGCATATCAATTAAAGTAACAGGAAAGTTCATGCATACGTTAGTGACATTCCATAAAGGTCCATTGGTCAAATTGGAATCCAATATGCAATTTGGATTTCACTGTGGTTATATGTATCTACGCCCACCTAGAAGGGGATCATATTCCCTTATGATTTTTCAAAATTCGCAGAGTAAGATATTAAAATTCTAGTGTAGTCAATTAAAAGATTTTAAAGGATTTTAGAATTCATTCAAATCTAGTTGTAGTCAATTAAAGGATTTTAGAATCTTTAAAATCTAGGTGTAGTCAATTAAAAAATTTTAAAGAATTTTAAAATCCATCCAAATCTAAATGTATTCAAAAAATTAAGATTTTGGAGGATTTTAATAAGTTGTGAATTTTGTGGGATTTGAAAGCCAAAAGTATATATAACCAAGACTAAAAAGAATCCAACCTCACCCCCTAGGATTTCGAATCCTTCCCCCACAATCCACCACAATCCATTCAAATTCTTTAAAAATCCATATGAATTTTGTAGGAGTTTTTAATCCTCTTAAATCCTATCAAATCTATCCCTATTAAAATCCTTTAAAATCTTAGTTTGACTACACCCCCTAAATATTGGCGTTTACGGAACCATAGCAGGGATGAAGGAAGAAAACGAGCAGTTTGTTTTTAATTTTATTTTTTAGAGTTCTTTTTTAACATTTAACCTTACTAAAAATTCAAGTCTGCAAAACTGAAATATAAGCAAATTCATTCCTTACAACCTCAATGAATATTGCAAAGGTTCCAAAATCCAGAATAAAGGTAATTAAAAAGCATTTAATGTACACAAGTGTTGTCAAAGCAGCTACTAAAACATCTAATGTCTTCCAAAATGAACCAAAATCATCAAAAGTTCTTCAAATACATCCAAAACATGTCAACTTCTCACCCAAGCTGATCTGAAAGGGAAGGGTAAAAGAGTGAGCTATAAAGCCTAGTAAGTAACGATATCTGAAGCGCAATGATTCGAATGCACAATCAAAGGATTTGGATGCAAGAGTGGCAACACAATGAACACAAGAATTCAATGAATTAATAACAATACAAATAGCCTATGTAATTCCTCACTAGTAAATCCAATGAGAACTTATTCCCAGGTGGGCACATGTGTCTTTATACCAACTGATCTGAGGTCCAGACACCGTCACAGAGAAGGCACAAACACTACGATTCAGACGAACTGAATCAACATGTGATGCTATTTGATGTTCGATTACAAACACTTAGAGCAATGAAACAAGGCAATGGTATCTGAATCAATCATCAAAACGAGGTTCAAATATCAGATGCAACCTAACTGAAACAAAGGTCAATATCAAAGCAGCTCAGAGATTTAGAAACATAGAAACAAAGCAAACAACATACGGATACTTCCAGCTTCACTAAGCTTGAAACCATGAAATCAAACAGCTGAATTCCTAAGCTTAAAACAAATCTCTCACAAACTCTAACCTCTTAGTTTTGGTTCTAAAATAAGCAAATTGCGCTAAGAGAAGCAAAAGCTGGCACTAAAAAGGAGATAGCTTTCTTTAGGCAGGTGGTAGAAGGTTACTTTAGTTATGGTTTGCTTGTCAAGAGGTGACAGCTTACTTCAAGTGAAGATTTGCTTTAAGTAAGGTGACAACTTAACTTTATAGATGGTGTCTAGTTGTTGTGCTAAAATCTATCATTTGTCACCCAAATGTTTGACAAAATAGAGCCTCAGAAGAGCTGGGCTGTTACAAAAATAGCAAAGTTCTGATCTTTTTAGACCTTGCATCCCAAACTGCAGAAGAACAAAGCTGTTCATGAAGCCTTGGTACTCAACTCAAATGAGGTTTGTTCAAACCCAAAAAAGGAACTCCCAAGTGTTCCCAAATTGGTATTTTTTCTAAATTAGATTCTATTGCCAGTATATATAATACAAGTCTATATGTTAATGTTACAACCTTACAAGCATTCAAAATACAAAAATGCTAATTTCTACCAAAGAGGTATTAAGTACTTTGACATTCCTGTCTTTTTTAGTACAAGAAAACGCGGGGGAAGAGATACAATGCTTCCTGCATTTCTTTAATCAGTTCATCTTTTCCAATGCAGCTGATGCAGAAACCAAATCTCCGGGTGTTGCTGGTTCGTGCATCTGCAGCCATAAACAAATATCTGGTGTAAAGTGGCAGGAAGATTTCAGTTTCCTAAAAAGCAAAGACTTCATGGAACGTAAATATTGGAAGCTAATCATGACAGTTCCAGATTAAATATGTACTGACAGATGACAGAGAAACAATAATACACGAAACCGAAACCAACAGACAACACACATGGCCATAGATTAATGTAACAAAGATTCATGAACCACCATATTGTGGGGAACAAACTTACAGATTTTGCTACAGAAAGCCAGTGAAAACAACGCAAGAATGCATCATCCTGTGAAGGAAGGCTGTCGTGATTCCAATATGTGATGCTTTTGTATTTCGCATTCATCTCCCAACAGTTTGAGCTCCCATCTGAATTATTGGAAGCTTTTCTCTTGCCAAGACTCTTCTTCCCTAGAACAAATCCTGCAAAAGAAAATATTAGTAAACTGGAATTCTTTGAAAACTGAAAGAGAATTTAGTCATTTACACCATTTGGAAGCAATATATAAAGAGAACTCTTTTGTTGTCACACATATTTGTGTCTATGGCATCCATGTTTAGGTGCAGTACACTTGTAAATGTGTTGAAACAAAGTACATATATTATACATAAAAGAGGGGCTTAACATTTGAAGGGGAAAAATTACAAAAAATGAAATTTCCATGATATATACAACAAACTCCATCTTGAACTAACAAGGGTTTCCCCCTTCCCATTAAAGCTCCAAATCATTATGCTCATTTTGCAACCCATGAAAATAGAGGCTAAGCCGTTAGCTCTTGAGGATAGACATCTCCCGATAGTAGCCTCTCCCGACCACACCCGTCTCCAAGTCCCTAAGAACTCTATTTCATTTTTGCTGAAGAAAGAGTATGGTAGAGGGAGGTGGTAACCACTGACATACAGCTCAATGGGTGGGATAAGTTATAAGACACAACAATAGTCACCACTAGGCACTAGCAAGACAAGAAACAATTGCTCGTCATTTTCTCTGTTATATAAAAGTCCCACAGGTTAGCTCAAAATATCAAATGGTTAGACGGCCATGATTTGGTTATTGGCCTGTGGATTCGCTGGAGTGTTTTCTTTGGGGCCTAGTCTTTACTCCCATTTTCTCTAGTTTCTTCTTCATTTCTAAAATGCCTGTACATAACTTCATATTCAACTGCTTTTTGCTACCATATCTAAATGTTAGCACATCCTCACTGCCTCTGGTTTTGAGAGACTACAGAAAGCAAATCAATATAGCAACAGCTGCAACACCAATCTGCCACCACTGCCTTGTAATACAGGCCCTAGCCTCAAGATTTCAAGATTCTAACGTATCATATGGCACAAGACAATTTCCGTCAAACGAGCACTATTCATTCCATCCACCAACACTAACATCAAATGTTTCCATGATAACATACAAACACAAACTCGAGCACTGTCTATTCCTCCTACTAATTTACCACACGATTTTCTTTCCGGGTCTCAATTCTCATTCCCACGCTCGATTCGATACCATGAAAACATCAGGTTCACCTTTGCTCCACAGTAAAGGTGCCGGCAGAACCCAACAACTTCCGCTCAAATGACAGAATACACTATAAACTTGTGTACAAAAGGAAAAGGTTTGTCCATGGTGTTTCAAACATAACGCTGAACAACGAAAATTATTTATAATAAACGCATAGTAATAACCGATTGTAAGGCCTAAAAGCAAGTAACAGAGAGATTACAGCACCAAGAAATTATGAGAGAAGCAAAATTTATCATTGACGAGGAAAGTGGATGAAATTTGGGTTCACCAATTAACGAGGGTAATGTTTACAATTTAAAACAAGTTGCTTATTTGACGAACTCAGACCCAAAGTTAGAGTCTTTACTTGCCACCATAAAAGTCCCAACTCTAAACATCAATACAGAAGCACCGAGGTCTAAATAAGCCGAAAAATGATGGAAGAAATCGATTAAGATAAGGGGCCACAACAACCACATTTCATACACTACAATAAAAAGGTACTGAATTTACTGACTGAACTACATTGACATACCGGAATACCCATCTGGAATCGGAATCGAGGCTCCTTGCAACTTCCTTCCTCTGAAATAAGCTTCCTGTGTTCTTAAACCCTCTGATTCGATTCCTTCAGCTCCAATAAAAAACCCATTACTCAGTTATGCCATGTAAATTGTATGTAAGAAAAAGAGGGAAGATTCTTTACCAGTTGATTTGGGTTTGAAGTATTGGGAGACGGAGGAAGGGCCATTGAATTTGATGGAGCAGGGGAGGAGGTGCACCTGACCACTCAAGTCCACCACTCTTTCTTCTTCTCCCTGTGACTCTCCGTTTCCATTTCTTCTCAGAACTATGCTGCCTTGGGTGCCCTGCTCCATTTGATTTGCCCCCAAATTTGTTCAGATAAAACCCTAATTTCTGTATCAGTGTTTCAGTCTCTCTAGTTTTGCTTTCTTCAAAATTTGGCCACACATGGGCCACCTTTCCCGCGCTTTTTCAATCTTGGGTTACGATTTGGTCCAAAGTGATTATAATTAGGCCCAGCGCAACCCCATGTCTTGGGTTTTTATATATCTAGGTTTTTATTTTTTTTTTAACAAATGATATTATTTATACTAAATGAATGGAGGAGTAGATTAAGTTTTACAATAAACTAGCAAATAATGTGGTTCAAATTCACCTTTTATGAGAATCAAACATAAGACCTCTCACTTACTAGTGAAGAGAAATATCACTAGACCGTAGGACTAAGTGACATATAATGTAGGGCTATTAAGTTCATTTTTTTAAGTAGGAATTCTTCTTTTTTATATCTTATTTTGTTAGACCATCTCCAACCCTTGGGCTAAAAGCCAAATTTTTTAGCCCGGAAAATTTGGCTTTTAGCCCAGAAACATCTTTTCTGCTCCAACTCTTCTGGCTTAAAATTTTAGCCCAGAATTATTAAAAAATGAACTTAGGCTAATTTTTTTCTTAAATCATTTTTTTTTAAATAAATATGTAGACTATTGTAAATTAATTTTATGAACATTTTAATCTAAAAAAAAATTTAAATTCCGATAAATATTGAAAAATCATTAAATTTTTCACAAAGTGTGGAATAATAAGTACAATAATTATTGAAGACATCTAGATTAAATAGAAACAATAATTAATAAGACATAAATTTAATAAAGTACATAAACCACATAATAAACAACATAAACTTAATACAAACAACAATTAATAAATTTAATTAACATAATTCATACACTACATAAACTTAACAATCATATTCACCATCTTCGCTTGGTGATGGACTTTGTTGAAATGTTGGGATATAGAGTTCAGAGGATTCATCATCTTGAAACATACTCCTTGAGGCAGACTTTCGCATAATTTCCTTTTGCTTATCATGTAAGAACTTCTTCCTTTCTGGAGTGTATTTGCTGAGGTCATTCATCATGAATTCAATTTCAAACCTATTTTCCTCCCTATCCGAGATTTCCTTCATTTGCAAATGCATTCGGGCCGCTTCTTCTTGGCGAGCGCTATGAGTTCCGTGCAATTTTGCAATTCCGGTAGCAAAGTCTCCACTCGTCGAATCTTGGGACTTCCCTTTTCTCTTTGCTTCCTTTTGCTTATCTCTTCCTAGGGGCCTTGGTAAAGAAGGAGATAGGGTCATTTCATCGACACCTTCATCGACACCTTCATTTCTCGGTGCGGCTTCACGTTGAAATAATCTTCCCCATTGTTGGTTTGCATCGGTTGCCCACCTCGGACAATCCTTGAGGACGTCCCAAGCATGTTGCAACTTAAAAACTTGATTTTTTGGTGTTACTCTTGTCTTGTAAATTTCCATTGCTTTGTCACCCTATGCAAAAAATACATAAAAATAATTAGTTGCAAAATAATATTATGTACATGACAAATAAAATATCAAGAAAAAAACTCACAATTTCTATGGCGCTCCTTCCACTAGGCATGTCAATCATGGCTCTCTCCAAGCTTCCCTTCCATAAAGTGCATGCTTTGTTGATAGTCTTCCACCGATCATAAACACCACCACCGTCCCGCCCTCCGCCGTTGCAGTTTTCTTGAAACTTTGCAATGATTTTATCCCACAAAACCTTTTTATTTTGATTTGTGCCAACTGCACCATCTTCGCTAACAGAAACCCATGCCAAGCATAAAGCAACATCTTCCTCACAAGTCCAATTAGGACCTCTAACATGCTCTCTTGCCATGTTGAACAATTTGGAAATGGAAAGAAATGGTAGAAAGATAAATTGGAAGAATTATAGGAGAAAATTGAGTTTTGTGTGGATGTTTGAACAAATACATAGGTATTTATAGAGTTTTTGGGTGAATTTTGAGTTAAATAATTTTTTTTAATTATTTTAGCCGTTGGATTTAAATTTGGGCCGTTAGATCTTTTTTTTACCGTTAGATTTGATTATATTTAATCTCAACCGTTGGATTCAATGTATTTTAAAATAACATATTTTTTAAAAATGAATTTGAATCTGGACCATTGGATCAACCAACAGTCCTTAAATGTTGGCCATTTGATTTTGAAAAGAGCCGTTGGGCTCGGGTGAGTGGCTGACAAGGCCCTGACACTGGGCCCCCTTCTTGTCGGGCTTCGGTTGCAACTTGCCCGCGTGGAGCGCGTGCGCGAGTCCACGGGCCGAGAGTGGCCCAAAACGGGGCAAGTCCACGAGTTTGGGGGGGAATTTGGCCCAACTTTAGCATTCCCCTTTTAGCCCAATATTTTAGCTTGGGTTGGGGGGTGTTTGGGGGGAATTTTGGGCTAACAATTTGGCTTTTAGCCCAGGTTTGGAGTTGGCCTTATGCAAGCAATAGCGGAACGGAGGGAGAATCTAACATAAGACTTTAAGTACAGAGATAAATGCTCTTAAGTCTTGACTTGAGCTAAACCTAGTAATTTTGATTACACCAAATTTTTTTCTAGACACCCTTGTTTCTCTTTGGCGTCTATGCTAGTGCTAGTTTTCGGACACCCAAAATTAAATAAGAAACTGCCAAAAATACCTCTCACAGCCTCAAGTGAAGTGATTTAATTATTTATTTTTATTCAAGTGATATTCTAATTTAATCGTAGCTCTCTATCTTTGAGAGACTCTTTCACCCATTAAGGTTGTGATCCTTTAAGCTAGTTATACATCTTCTCTCTGTCTCTCTCACACATGTATAACACTGTTTTCTTTTACCTGTTTTTCGCACAAGGAAGATTTCGGAGACAAGATTCTCAACTTAGTAGGTTCAATATAACAGGTTTATCAAAGAAACCTTAACCCATAGAGAGAGACATCCCTAAGTTTGTCCACTGTCAATATCTTCATTAAATTGTCACGTGAACGATCACGTGACCGTCTTTTTAAGGGTAATTATTATCAAACCAACTCCTTCAATTAACAAACATATTGATAAATTTTTCATGAAATGACCAAAATAATTTATGATGAACAAACTAGGAGACCACTTATGTCAATTTGCATTGTCAACGACCAAAGTAAAAAGTTGTGTCAATCTCAAAGACTATTTTGGCTAAAAGGCCTTTATATCAGCACATCAAAAGAAAACGTTCCCATTTGTATCACAATGTACTGCGAGCATAGATATTGGTGATCGAAAAGAAAATAAAAACTGGTGTTTACAACATCAAATCTGAGTACATGGTCAAAAATTTCCAAAACTTCTTCCTGCAAATCCATTAGATTATTTTCCTCCTCCACAGTGTGGATGCCTGAAATGCCTCCCGGAGTCCCGACTGCTATTTCCATCCAAGAAACACTCACCAATACCTTAGAAATACGTACACCTCGTATTGTGACAATCATGAGATCCTTCTCGACAGGTTCCTTAACCCAGAGCCAACGCATTTAAGTATAACAGTCCCTGTGGATGGGTCGGGCTTAATGACAAATTTAACACCGAGAAAGTCTTTGATGTTTCTGAGTGTTTCTATCCCATAAGGAGAGAGCTTTCCAACACGAACCTTTGAAACATCTTGTGGACATAGTGCACAGAGAAGAAACAACAAGCCCTACAAGCCAAAATGACAGCAAACTATCAGGGATCGACAGAATTCACAAAGGAGCAAAAAGGGAACCTGCAATCGAATACCGTATGAATTTCTTATAAGGGCCTTAGGGCGCACCCTATTTGTTATAAGAATGCCTTTTAGTAATTTTACCACTGTCATGGAACAAGCTGGAAACAAAACAAAATTATCATACTTGCATCATTTGATTTTAGGACTACCTTTAGATCAACATTAAATTGTATTTTGGGAATACTATATGGATCAACATCACAAAATTCATCTATAAACAAGACCCAATTTTCCTTTTCCTGTTTTACGGAAAAGAATTCCATGTCAAATTGTGAATAAAAGCAACATGATTAAAGATCAGAGACAGAGGATGAACATCATGATAATCGGTACAGACACACACATATATTGACAGAAAATGTCTTCAATATAAATTTGATTAAATTTACGATATGGCTGAATATTAATGAGCATGCACTAACAATCTAAGATCAATAAAAATTGAAAGCAAACTCAGCCGGTATGGAAGAAGTACAATACATCAAACCACGAACCTGATGTGTTGAATCTACCACTCCACCCTGCTCAATCTCCCCAAGCAGAACATTAGCCATTTTCACACCAACATCCTCTGGAGGCATAAGATCTTTCTTCTCCTCATCTTCAAGTTCAACTGTTTCTTCCCCTCGAGAATAAGAAATTGCTGTATCAGCAGAGATACAGCAACCAGAAGTTGTTTCCGCAACCAGTGAAATTCCATAACCAGGTGAACTGCCATAAGATCATTATTGTCTACATGAGCCTAAGTGTTGCTAACACTTAAATATAACCAAACCTCATAACAAAATAAAGAAATACTTCAAACTTCTAAAATGTATCTCCTATGGAAAAAATATAATGATATTTAGTAAAAAATGAGAATATACAGTCCAGCTTGTGCGCCACTTCTATGGTCAGTAAATATGTGAACATCTGGGAGTAAGAGATTAAAGATTCCACGAGCAGCATACACCATGGTATTTTCAAACTGTGTGGACACTCTTGTTGAGAACGTAACCCCTCTAATCCTCTTAACCATCCCCTCATCAGTCCAGTTTACTGCCTGTAGAGCAAAACACATAAACAATAACAAATCCAAAACCCGAAAAACTGGTGAAAAACATATATAGTATCTCATAAGTATCAGAAACTCACAGTTAGACTTTGAACAATTGGGATTGACAAAAACACTTCACCGCCACCTTGAGGAGCAGATCCACGACTCTGTATTTTAAGGTCTAGCCCTTCTGAGGGAACTCCAAAGTGTTTTAACATGGGTAAGGTAGTGGACCGGAATGTATCAACAGATGGGTCCTTGGGATCATTTGTAATTCCTAAAAAAAAATTATGAGACTCACATAAAGTGGCAGAACCTTCTTAAAGCTCAAATCAACAACCACAAAAGATGTACTGTGCTCTATCTACTAGCATATGGTCAGGGGAACCCTTTTTTCGGTTACTGATTGGGGTCAAGTCATTCGTTTATAAGTAGAAACGTAAATAGTCAATATACAAAACAGAATAGAGAGATTTTAAAACTATCAGAAATTAGCTTTTCTGTTCCCATATTGATCTTGACTCAATATTAAGGCCAGTACCAAAAACCTCAAGGAATTGTCTTGAAAAAATAGATAACTGGCAGTATCGGGAGATCATTCATAAAAGAAAAACATGACGTTAGATCATGAAAATGTTCTAAAATTCATGTTCCTTACTTGGACCAAAACCAGAACCTTGGTCTGTGACTCAATATTAAAACAGTAACAAAAACCTCAAGGGATTGTCTTTAAAAATTAGATAACTGGCAGTACCGGGAGATCATTCATAACAGAAAAACATGATGTTAAAGCATGAAAATGTTCTAAAATTCATGTTCCTTACTTTGACCAAAACCAGAACCTTGATTGGGGCATTAATTCTACAACACCAATAAAAAAGCTGCACACAAAAGTAAACAAAAACGCAGAGAAGATTCGCAACAACGAAAGCAGTTACCTTTAAGCGTAATGGTAAGCGGCTTTTTGGCAAAGAGACCAAGCACAATCAATGGCTCCAAGAAATACCCAATCGCCCGACTGAGCCCGCAGTCGTGCAACAAATTCCTCCCACCCATCACTATCCCCGGCTTGAACTTCAATTTCGTACCTGCCCACAAACCCAAACACAAATTCTCAAAAACCCTAAAACCCTAAACCCCGAAACAAAATTGGAACCTCAACTTTTCGCTAAATTCGAAAAAAAACATGTTCTTTGTGATTGGAATCAACTAGTAAGAGTACCAGTCTCGTTGATTTCGACGACGCAGTCATCGGAGACCTTCTCGAGGAGGCGGAGGAAGGAGACCTCGTGGGGGCGGAGGCCGGGCCATGTCTCCTCTGCGCGAATGTCCTCGATAAGAACCGGTGTGGACGCAAGCGCCGCCAGTACGAGTCGCTGTCTTAGGTTTTGGCTTCCGGTTAGCTTCTTGTAGCTTATCTTCCCCATTTTTGCTTCTCTCTCTGGTCTCTCTGTTTCTCTGCTCTCTGCTTCTGGTGGCGGGGGGCGGGGCGTCGCTATCAATTTCTTGTCCTTCTGATTTTTCTCGTTTATAGTTATATACGGGGGTAATATGGGAATATTATTCTGTTCAGACTGAACAGCAAACATTAGATTTTCAAATTATCAACAACAACAACAACAACAACAAAGCCTTTTCCCACTAAGTGGGGTCGGCTATATGAATCCTAGAACGCCATTGCGCTCGGTTTTGTGTCATGTCCTCCGTTAGATCCAAGTAATCAAGTCTTTTCTTAGGGTCTCTTCCAAAGTTTTCCTAGGTCTTCCTCTACCCCTTCGGCCCTGAACTTCTGTCCCGTAGTCACATTTTCGAACCGGAGCGTCAGTAGGCCTTCTTTGCACATGTCCAAACCACCGGAACCGATTTTCTCTCATATTTCCTTCAATTTTGGCTATTCTTACTTTACCTTGGATATCCTCATTCCCAACTTATCCTTTCTCGTGTGCCCATACATCCCACGAAGCATCCTCATCTCCGCTACACCCATTTTGTGTACATGTTGATGCTTCACCGCCCAACATTCTGTGCCATACAACATCGTTGGCCTTATTGCCGTCCTATAAAATTTTCCCTTGAGCTTCAGTGGCCTACGACGATCACACAACACGCCGGATACACTCTTACACTTCATCCATCCAGCTTGTATTCTATGGTTGAGATCTCCATCTAATTCTTCGTTCTCTTGCAAGATAGATCCTAGGTAGCGAAAACGGTAACTTTTTGTGATCTTCGCTAGATTGCTCCGGTCATTAGTGTGGATAAGTATATAAATGGATAGAGATAGGAAAGCAAACACAAGATGTACGTGATTCACCCAGATTGGCTACGTCCACGGAATAGAGGAGTTCTCATTAATTGTGAAGGGTTTACACAAGTACATAGGTTCAAGCTTCTCCTTTAGGGAGTACAAGTGAATGATTTAGTACAAATGACATTAGGAAATATTGTGGGAGAATGATCTCGTAACCACGAAAACTTCTAAGTCCCGGAGTGTGGTATCGGCTTGACTTTTCCTTATCTGTCTCATAGGTAGATGTGGAATCTTCTCTAGAAGTACTCTTCCTCCATCCAGGGGTGGTATCTGTAACTGGTGGAGATGCACAAGGTAATGTATCAATGTCACTTGAAGCTTACTTGTAGTTTCAGGCTTGGTCAAGCGCGATACAAACCATGTAGTAGGAGTCCCCCAAGTCGCCGAGCTAGGGGATCTGCTGAAAGAGGTAACAGACAAGGTAAGCAATCAGAGCTCTGGCTGATTGTTCACATTCTCCCTATCTTGCAGGCAGCATGAAGGATAAAGAGAAGAAAAATGAGAAGAGATGATATGGGATACTTTTGCTTTTGAAGAAGTAACTTTCCACAGGCTTATTCTTGAACTGGGCTGGAGGGTTTTTCTGGTTTCCTCCAAAGTATAAGGCCGACTGAAGAATTTGAGGGTCAAAACAAGTCCATCAAATCTAGAGTACGTTCGCCCCTGCTGATATGGGATACTTTTGCTTTTGACAGAGTAGTGGATATATCGGCACGTGTGCTGTTACGCTTGTCTCCACATGCTTCCTTGTATCCTTCTCACTTGCCTTATCCTCAGGCAGATGCGGTATCTTCCTTGGAAGCATAAGATGTTGAAGATGAGTACTCGAGAGCAATGCCAGGGTAAGGGGTTCCAGGCAGTCAGTTCCTGGCTGGAAGCTTGATTCCAAGTGCTGACTGATTGCTCTCTTTCTCCTTGTCTTGCAGGTAAGAACAAGGCCAAAGGAAAAGACAGGGAAAAAAGCATGATATGGGATACTCTTGCTTTTAACCCTGATGATATGAGATATTCTTGCTCTAGTATAGCTTGTTTACAGAGGTATTATCGGGGGGAAAGAAAGCTGAATATTTTGAAAGGCTTCGTTGGGAGTGCCCTCTCAGATAAGAGGAAGGGTTGAGCATTTTTGCAGGTCTGCCTGTCCGTTGGGGATGGAGGTCGCCATATATAGGAGTCTCCCTAACATCAAGTAATAATGCTATTCCTTTACCCCTGCTTGGTCATAGCACGGTAGTGGAAGCTGCCAGCTTCACAAGTTTTAACTCTGTCAGAGCACTTTGAAAAAGTGGTCTGTGGTATCTGGAAAGCTGATGTTGCGTGTGAAGATTACAGACAAGCTTTATCCAAGGAGATCCGGCTCTTGAAGTTGGGAAAGTGGTGCCTCTTCGGTTTTCGAACAAGCAATCCTGTCGGGATCTGGCTCTCGAGACTCGGAGAACGATGCCTCTTCGATTTTTGAGAAAGCAATCATGCTGGGGGTCTGGCTCTCGAGATTCGGAGAGAGCGGTGTCTTCGATTTTTGAGAAAGTAATCATGTTGGGGTTGGCTCTCGAGAATTCGGAAGAGCGTGTTATTTTTGTTTTGAGTTTGGTTGGAAAGTGTTTTTTGATCGAATTGAGAGCATGTTTGCTGCTACCTTGCCACGAAGCACAGAGGTTTGACACAGGGACTTTCCAATTATCCAGCAGTGGTACTGTTCCTTTACCCTCTCTTCGATTTTTTGAGAAAGTAATCATGTTAGGGAGGGCTCTCGAGCTTTCGAAGATCGGCGGTGCCTCTTCGATTTTGGAGCAAGCAATCTTGTTTGGGGTGTGTTTTCGTTGGGTAAGGTTAGATGTTTGCTAGTCTACCTTGCCACGAAGCACAGAGGATGACACACAGGGGTTGTTGGTACTGTTCGATTTTTGAGAAAGTGTTGGGAATGGTTCGAGATTCGGAGGGCGATGCCTCTTCGATTTTGGGGCAAGCAATCAGAGTTTGGGCATGTGTCACCTTTGAGCACAGTTTGACACACCGGGACTTTCCAATTATCCAGCAGTGGTACTGTTCCTTTACCCTTGTGGGTAATAATAAGGTAGCTAGGCCGTCAAAATTTATGTGTCTAAACTTTGTTAGTGTTGTTTCTTTGCTATTCTTTTACCCTTCTTGGTCAGGGCGATGTAGTGAGAGTTGCAAGCTTCACGTGTCTCGACTTTGTCAGAGAACTTTGGCAAAGTTATATGTGGTACCCATGAGCTACTGTTGCGTGTGGGAAGTGGGTGATTGAACAGTACGATTCATGTGCTTTCTACTTCGCCAGAAATCTTCGACAGAATGCCCATAATTTCCGCAAAGCTGAGTGTGCGTGTGACAGGTGCTGACAAGGCTGGAAAAGTAGGTGCCTCTTTCGATTTCTGAGATCGACCCTCGTGGTCTCTGAGCAGCCCAGCTTTTGAGAAAGCAAACCTCTTCGATTTCTGAGATCGGCCCTCGTGGTCTCTGAGCAGCAGCTTTTGAGAGAAAGCAAACCTCTTCGATTTCTGAGATCGGCCCTCGTGGTCTCTGAGCAGCCCAGCTTTTGAGAAAGCAAAAACCTCTTCGATTTCTGAGATCGGCCTTCGTGGTCTCTGAGCAGCCCAGCTTTTGAGAAAGCAAAACGCCTCTTCGATTTCTGAGATCGACCCTCGTGGTCTCTGAGCAGCCCAGCTTTTGAGAAAGCAAACGCCTCTTCGATTTCTGAAGCTTCGTCGAGTGCAGATTTTTATAGAGGCTAACATTAAGTTCCAAAGCACACTTGAATATCCACTTGTAGAAGCTCCATTCTTGCACTTCTAAGAACTTGATTTGTCCGACCTCTTTCTCTCTTCTACACCTTTGAAAATGTCTGGCCCCCTCCGACCGTCGTTTTGACTTGAACCTTGTTGAAGAGGCAGCCCCGCCTTCTCCAGACAACATATGGCGCCCATCCTTCGTCTCCCCTACTGGTCCTCTTACCGTTGGGGATTCCATGATGAAGAATGATATGACCGCTGCGGTAGTGGCCAGGAACCTTCTCACTCCCAAAAGATAACAGACTACTTTCCAAACGGTCTGATGAGTTGGCTGTTAAGGATTCTCTGGCTCTTAGTGTTCAGTGTGCAGGTTCTGTGTCTAATATGGCACAACGCCTATTTGCTCGAACCCGCCAAGTTGAATCATTGGCGGCTGAAGTGATGAAGAGTCTCAAACAGGAGATTAGAGGGCTCAAGCATGAGAATAAACAGTTGCACCGGCTCGCACATGACTATGCTACAAACATGAAGAGGAAGCTTGACCAGATGAAGGAATCTGATGATCAAGTTTTACTTGATCATCAGAGATTTGTGGGTTTGTTCCAAAGGCATTTATTGCCTTCGTCTTCTGGGGCTGTACCGCGTAATGAAGCTCCAAATGATCAACCTCTGATGCCTCCTCCTTCTAGGGTTCTGTCCAGTACTGAGGCTCCGCATGATCCCCCTCCGGTGCCTTCTCTTTCTGGGGCTCTACCCACTGCCGAGACTTCTCCTAAGCAACCTTTCTGAAGGCTCCCTCTTGTTTGTTTATTTTGACTCAAGTATATGTACATATTTGTAATTTATCAAGATATCAATAAATAAGCTTTCCTTCATTTCAACGTATTTGTGTTAAATCACCAAAAGCCTTCTTCGCTAAGTTTCTTTGAATTTCTCTTTTGTTGAAGCTTGTATGTTTGGAGCTTTGTGTGAGTGGAGCATGTAGGTTGAGGTAGTGTTCCCTTAATTTCCCGAACGAGGACAACTTCTCGGTTGGAGACTTGGAAAATCCAAGTCACTGAGAGTGCTATATGAATCGGCTATGAATCTTAGAACGCCATTGTGTTCTGTCCTGTGTCATGTCCTCCGTTAGATCCAAGTACTCTAAGTCTTTTCTTAGGGTCTCTCTCAAAGTTTTCCTGGGTCTTCCTCTACCCCTTCGGCCCTGAACCTCTGTCCCATAGTCGCATCTTCTAATCGGAGCGTCAGTAGGCCTTCTTTGCACATGTCCAAACCCACCGTAACCGATTTTCTCTCATCTTTTTCCTTCAATTTCGGCTACTCCTACTTTACCCCGGATATCCTCATTCCTAATCTTATCCTTTCTCGTGTGCCCACACATCCAACGAAGCATCCTCATCTCCGCTACACCCATTTTGTGTACGTGTTTGATGCTTCACCGCCCAACATTTCTGTGCCATACAGCATCGCCGGCCTTATTGCCGTCCTATAAAATTTTCCCTTGAGCTTCAGTGGCATACGGCGGTCACACACAACACGCCGGATGCACTCTTCCACTTCATCCATCCAGCTTGTATTCTATGGTTGAGATCTCCATTCTAATTCTCCGTTCTTCTTTTGCAAGATAGATCCTAGGTAACGAAAACGGTCGCTCTTTGGTATTTCTTGATCTCCGATCCTCACCCCTAACTCGTTTTGGCCTCCATTTGCACTGAACTTGCACTCCATATATTCTGTCTTTGATCGGCTTAGGCGAAGACCTTTAGATTCCAACACTTCTCTCCAAAGGTTAAGCTTTGCATTTACCCCTTCTTGAGTTTCATCTATCAACACTATATCGTCTGCGAAAAGCATACACCAAGGAATATCATCTTGAATATGTCCTGTTAACTCATCCATTACCAACGCAAAGAGGTAAGGACTTAAGGATGAGCCTTGATGTAATCCTACAGTTATGGGAAAGCTTTCGGTTTGTCCTTCATGAGTTCTTTACGGCAGTCTTTGCTCCTTCATACATATATCCTGTATAGCTTGGATATATGCTACTCGTACTCCTTTCTTCTCTAAAATCCTCCAAAGAATGTCTCTTGGGACCCTATCATACGCTTTTTCCAAATCTATAAAGACCATGTGTAAATCCTTTTTTCCCATCTCTATATCTTTCCATCAATCTTCGTAAGAGATAGATTGCCTCCATGGTTGAGCGCCCTGGCATGAACCCGAATTGGTTGTCCGAAACCCGTGTCTCTTGCCTCAATCTATGCTCAATGACTCTCTCCCAGAGCTTCATTGTATGACTCATTAGCTTAATACCCCTATAGTTCATGCAATTTTTGTACATCGCCCTTATTCTTGTAGATAGGCACCAAAGTGCTCGTTCGCCACTCATTTGGCATCTTCTTCGTTTTCAAAATCCTATTGAAAAGGTCAGTGAGCCATGTTATACCCGTCTCTCCCAAAACTTTCCACACTTCGATTGGTATATCGTCTGGGCCTACTGCTTTTCTATGCTTCATCTTCTTCAAAGCTACAACCACTTCTTCCTTCCGGATTCTACGATAAAAGAGTAGTTTCTACACTCTTCTGAGTTACTCAACTCCCCTAAAGAAGCACTCCTTTCATGTCCTTCATTGAAAAGATTATGAAAAATAACCTTTCTATCTGTCTTTAACCGCGTTCTCTGTAGCAAGAACCTTTCCATCCTCATCCTTGATGCACCTCACTTGGTTTTAGGTCCCTTGTCTTCTTTTCCCTTGCTCTAGCTAGTTTTTATAGATATCCAACTCTCCTTCTTTGGTATCTAGTCGTTTATACATATCGTCATAAGCCGCTAACTTAGCTTCTCTCACAGCTTTCTTCGCCTCTTGCTTCGCTTTTCTATACCTTTCACCCATTTTCATCGGTCCTATCCTTGTATAAGGCTTTACAACATTCCTTCTTAGCCTTCACCTTTTGTTTGTACGTACCTCCTCATTCCATCACCACGATTCCTTTTGGTGTGGGCAAAGCCCTTGGACTCTCCTAATACCTCTTTTTGCTACTTTTCGGATACAACTAGCCATGGAATCCCACATTTGGTTAGCTTCCCCCTCTCTTATCCACACACACACTGGGTGGTTATTTTCTCTTTGAAAATGACTTGTTTTTTTTCTTCTTTTAGATTCCACCATCTAGTCCTTGGGCACTTCCAAGTCTTGTTCTTTTTTCTCACTCTTTTGATATGTACATCCATCACCAACAAGCGATGTTGATTAGCCACGCTCTCTCCTGGTATATAACTTTGCAATCCTTACAAGTTATACGATCCCTTTTTCCTCATTAGAAGAAAATCTATTTGTATTTTTTGACGACCCACTCTTGTAGGTGATCACATGTTTCTTCCCCGCTTCTTAAAGAAGGTGTTGGCTAAGAAGAGATCATATGCCATTGCAAAATCCAAGATAGCTTCCCCATCTCTCTCTCTCGTTTTCTCCCCAAAACCATGGCCACCATGAAAACCTCCATAGTTGCCTGTCTCCCTGCCCACGTGTCCATTTAAATCTCCTCCTATAAATAACTTCTCCGTCTGAGCAATTCCTTGCACCAAGTCTCCAAGGTCTTCCCAAAATTTCTCCTTCGAACTCGTATCCAACCCTACTTGAGGTGCGTACGCACTAATCACATTGATAAGTTCTTGTCCTATTACAATCTTAATTGCCATGATTCTATCTCCTACCCTCTTGACATCTACAACATCTTGTGTCAAGGTCTTGTCCATAATAATATTACTAGGCCGTAATTTTTGTGACTTTGATTATTTCATTTAATTTTTGGTTACGTCATATAATAATCTACCGTAATATAATTTTATCGTTCATAAAAATGCTCTCCTAACATCCTTATTATGAGGTCATAGGAAAATTCCAGATTAATCTTAGAGTAGATTAAGCTATCAACTTATTTAATTCATATTATACCGAAACATAATAATTCTACAAAATGATTAAATTAAAAAAAAAATTCTCGCATAAAACATTCCGTCTCCTTCCCTCTACCGTCTCTCCTCTAGATCCCCTTTCTCTCTTCATCTCTCCCCTTGTCAAATACTAAAGCTATCCTCGGAGGGAGGAACCCAAACAACGGACTTAGAGACATGAAAAGCAGAAACAAATCTATAAATACAACACTCAGAGAGAGTGACATATACTTGTGAGTCTGTGTCCTGCTTTTCATATAACAATACTACAACTCACACTGATTAAAATTTCATAACGCTACGAGAATATTGTCAACATACTTCCTACAAACAAAAACTTCTTTTGTTCTTGTTTCCTTTTGATGGGAGGGCAAAAATTTTCAACCCTCTGAATCGTCGAAATGCTTGGGGCTGTCAAGTTCACCCATGCTTGCAGAAGCAAAAGACTCGGAAGAATCTACGCTCGAAAGGGAAGAGACAGAATCATCTGAATCCAATACGATGTGATCGTGAAGAGCAATGTTATCTTCATCAATTTCGGATGTCTCTGACCACTCTGCTCCTATAAGTAGTTTGCTTATCGCTGACTTTGCAGTTTCTACAAACCACTCGTCCTCGGGGAGTGCACTAATAAAACACAAGAATTTTAGTTTCGGGTTGTGTTAGGAGGATAAAAACGGGAAAATATATACGCCCACATGCACACAACTGACCTTTGTACTTCTATGCCTCTAGCAGCAAAAGCCCTGATAGCACGAGCAATTATGGCTGACGCGATCTGGTGCACATGCCTGGATGGGTAACCACCAAAACGTGCAATTTCAACAGTGAAGTGCATATCAAGAATTAACTGCAATAACAAAGTTGATTATCAGCTAACTGCGAAGCTAAATTGCGAATATACAATAACTTTAAGATTGAAAGATAAATAATCTAAGTTCACCCCACAATAACTAGGAAAACTCTAAAATGGACAGTATGGAATGATATAAGTACCTGCTGCAACCCAAGTGGCTGAAGAGGACCTGTATCATCTTCGAACACACCCCAAAACTCTTGTTCATCGGACAACCACATTACAACTGTCTCTGTTAACCGAGCAAGCAAAATTTTCTGTATTTTCTCTTTTCCAAGTAACACATCTCCAGCCACGGTTGCTAACTGCTGCAGCTTTGCGAATAATGCCTGCAACAGTAGGGCAATCTCATTACTTGTACCACAAACAGCCAAATAACCCCTATTAAAAATGACACAATAAAGCAATATCTGGATATACAAAAACAAGCAATTTGGAGAAAAGGGGAGACCATATAAAAATAAAAGTAAATAATATGATTACATAGAAACCGTGTATATGGAAAGCATAATAGAGGAAGAAACAAGACCTGAAATGGAAGCGATGGCAAAGGGGCTGAGTCCAAGTACAAATCATCACCATTCTCATTTAAATATATTTGGGCATCCAATCGTGTCTGTCCTTCTCTTGAATAAATGAAGCTCAAGACATATTGCCTACAGAAATGGTCCCTTAGCTTGTCAAATGAATGCTGAAGATGGCGCCTCCAATCCTTTAACTCTGTAGAAGTGCTTGGAATAGGTGTGACATTTTCAGCAAGTCCACTTTTTGGTTCCCAACTTTCACTCTGCAGCTTCCAGAGGGTCATTACAGCATTTGGCAGTAGTTCATCCAAGATGGTAAATGCAACTCCCAAAACGGCAAGCTGTTCTGAATCTGTTTCAGCTCTAAAAGATACAAACTCCTTCAGCTCTGTGAGATTGTCATCATCAGATGGTCCTGGTAGGGCTTTAATTAAAGCATCCATGTATTTATCAAAAAGTTGTCCAATCCTACTCAGTATGTTTCCACCAAAATGCAAAACGGTCAAAGGGGTCAACTGTTCCAATATATCCTGCGAAATTTTTTACCAATATTATGAACTGATAGTTGAGTCATTACTTGCAAATTAGTAATGCATCGATGAACTTGGCATTACTAGTGAACAATACCAATTCAAATGCATATGCACAGACAGACAAGAACAAATTGCATCCTTATAAAAATTATGTTTACACGCACAAATCAGATGTGCCCACATGCAAGTACGCACAAAATAGTAGAAGGTACCTGCATACTTAATTACATAGGAAGTGAGTGTATAAAAAGGTCGTACCCAGTGCACAAGGCTCCCGCTTTACGCAGGGTCTGGGAGAGGTGAATGTCGGCTAGCCTTACCCCCATTTATGGAGAGGCTGCTCCCAAGTCTCGAACCCGAGACCTACCGCTCATGGGCGAAGGCACTTGCCATCGCACCAAGTGAGGGCAAGCAAGCCTTTCCTGAAAATAATGAAGAAATAATTTGAAGAATTCCAAAATTTTCATCCTCAGAGTAGTTCGGATGAAGGCTTTGTTAAATCACCTAAATATAAAATTAAGCATTCTATAGCATTTTCCTAAAAATCATAAGAATTTTTTTTTTTCATGTGTCATTAGGTCTGAAATTTTGCCACCATCTTAATTCCTCAAGTTCAATCCTCAACATAAAACCTAAAAAGACCAGCATAAGTTAATATAATGCTTGTATCAGTACAAAGACATGGAAATAAAAATTATATGAAGAAAGATTAGTATGGGACTAACTTACTTCAACAATGCACATAAATCTTATCCCACTATCAGCAATCAAGCTATGTGATGATGTTGTGAATGCAGACAGCGGAGGTGCAAAGCGAGGTGAAAATGACATGCACTCATCAGTTTCCATCAAGTCAAGGACACCTTTTCTTGCTCGTCTAAAGTTCAACTCTAAAACTTCTTCAATAAAAGGCCGCAACAGCACCAAAATCAATTTTGACAGTTTCAGCCCTTGTCGTTCCAGCATCAAGGAGTAGTTGAGACTAGCCTGAACACAAATGCTAGCTCCATGTAAAGCAGACACTGTATCAGAAGATGGTGCATTCTCTTTCACCAACCGTACAAAGTATTCGATTTCCCACTCTGCCCATTGGACTACTCTGTTTGTATAAACAGGATTATCACCAAATATTATACCGGACTTCGTCGCTGCCAGTGAGATTGTAGAAAAAACAAGTTTCGACAACGTTGCTGGATATGTCTTTGGACAGACAGAAGAAGAAGGAAAGAGAGCTTCAATGCTCTTCTCAAGATGGGACCCATAGAACTTCAGCAGTAACTGGTGTGCCAAAGGCCCTTTTCCAAGCTTGATTAGCCCACTTAAGGCCTTCTTCAACTCAACAAAATTAATAAAAGGTTGTCCAGTAATCTCAACTAGCTGATCTTCAAGCAGTGCTTTTCTTTTCAAGAAAACGGATCTGTATGAGGATCCTTCAGTTGTTGAAGTATCTCCCGAGCTTTTCAGCTCTGGAGAGTTTCTCTCTTCAGCATCTAAAGCCTCTAATGCTTCTTCTACTTTATGTTCAGCTAAGAGAACATCAACTTTCTCCAAAAAACTCTTGTCATGGTCCGTTTCAATTGGCAATGGTTCTTGAAGTTCATGATTATCAGGGTTTGGCTGGACTTCAATACTAGACCGATTCCATTCTTCCAATTGATGGCATACACCAGTCATCAAATCCTGCACAAGAATCCCTTGAGTTGAAATATGCTTTCGGAGCTCAACCAACTCATGCTCCATTTCTACAGCCTCCTCAGATATCCTGCAATTAGCAGTAAGATTAGATCATACATGCATGGATAAGCAGGATTAATGAACTTATTGAAATTAACTGAAAATCAAAACAATTTAGACCTACTAAGAAAGCAAAACAGCTTTGGGCCATTTTGGGACCATGTTTCAGGGTTCTGGATGGCAAGCCCAAATAGGCCTCAAAATATGTTGTTCTTGATATAGAGATGCAGAGAATTTAGAGATAATCAACGAGCCATAGGAGAGATATCAAAGATGCATAGTTTTGAGAAATGAAAATATAGAGGCTAATATGAATCGTCCATGCCCTTCTGGGGTTCCAAAACAATCTGTCTCCAAGAAAATTGAGGTGGGAGACTTGATCAGTCCTGTAAAACCCTTCAGGGCTATGTTGGAGAAGCTCTCACACACGGCGTGTGATTATCGGAAGGGAAAAAGGTTGGGATGCATGTTAACTTTTTTTTCAGTTAATAAGGCACACACATGCAAACACAGACATTGAGACAAACTTCCAGTTAAATTAAACTAGGCTAGCATCCCCCTGCCGAAGAATCATGCCAAAATGGAATAATGGTCACAAAATGGCTCAAAACACAATCTTACCATTATGAGCGAATTTTTCAATGCCATATGTGTAGTAATTTTCTAGGTTTCAGGTTATAAATCTAACAGTTGAGCTTTCACATCCCCTTCATGACAACCATTACTTCAAGTTGCCAATCTTGTTGGACTAGTTACATAATAATAGAATCATATCAAACTAAGTAGTTTTGCTTCACATAAAGTTTTTCTTATATGTAGTTAATATATTTCTATTACTGATTTAGTCTTTACGAAATCCTCATGATGTCACCTATAAAAATTTTAATACTGGAAAATCTCTCCACATAAGATAAGAGGCCCTTGATGTGATTTGAACCAAATATGATCCTGAAATTTTGGAACTTTTTATTTTGTTGAGATCCTAAAAATCTGTAACTAGAGTACACTCTTGTATATAGGATCACTGAGCAATGTTCTTGTCGAGTATAATACAAAGAAATATTTATGTGGCAGACTCTGTTCCTTAAAGCTTTTTCCTATATTCTCTTCCACTGTGCCCCCAAGCTCAAAATAGTTAGATCGTAAGCATGAACTATTTCAAACTTGTGAACTTCTTGCATGGACAACTTTGTACAGATTTTCCTTTTCAAGTAAAATACTAATCGTATATATATACGTATATTGCTTTATTGTTTCAACAAAATACAACTGATTCAGTGTTATTGATTTACCTCAAAAAAGCCAAATACTTTGTTCGCATATTCCCACATAAGTTCTCCACTGCATCTTTTAAATCTAACAGCTCACAGCATAGCTTTCTAATTCCCTGCATAAACAACATATACGTATAGGTGACGGGAATGTCATTATTGTCCATAACACATAAATAGATATACATACAATTACCACAACAAACTGCTCACTGAAAGAATACAACAGAAGCATCATCAACAAAGCTTATATGAATCTCTACAGTAATGCAATACTTGCAGCTGCTAACCTGAGACAGCAACTCCCTGTCCTGATGGTGGCAAAGTCCATAAATCTTTACCCCAAACAAGCTTACAGAAAACAGAATGCATTACTACATGTTCCGAAGAAGAGCATACATTCATCATTTATATTTACATATGATTCGCTTGTAATGAGCATTGTGACTCTCACGTCATATGCCTCCATTAAAAGGTAGATATACCACGCGGATGGACAATGCCACTATACTATTACACTTTTTCATAACAGTATATATTCTAAACAAATTGCAGTGAGCCATTCCAACTGCCAGATATTAATACTATTGTAACCAAACTCTAATTGTTAACCACCTTAACTTAAAACCCTTAAGGGCTCGTAAACTTAAGGCCTACGAGAATGCATTCGGAAAGCAAACACCAAGTACAAATGCACCAACCGATAACAGAAAATCAATTGGAGTAATCTTTTCAGTAAACCTAGTCATTTTTCTATGCAATTGTTAACTATTAGAAGAAAGATGAGCCCTTCGGTGCTGGATGGTCAAGGAGCAATCCAGTCACTAGGTCCAAATGCACCGATCAATAACGCAAAATCGTCACAATGCCAATGAAATCGCTGGGTCATTCACTAACTTTTTGCAGTTTCGCTCTTTTACAGCATCAAATAGACAACCCAGATGGAAAATCCAACTGTTCCCTCAAATTGTACTTAAGAAAGTGAAAACCCAGATAAAAAAAATGTAACAGATTCAGCTAATAATGTGTGAAAAATCATAATTACTCTCAAAATTATTGATTAATTTGAAATGGGCAACTCTCAAACAACTCAGAGAGATAGAAAATGGGGTCCAAATAAATTGATTGACAAAAAAAACAAAAACAAAAACAAAAACAAAAGAAAAGGTGCGAAATCAAATGTTGAAACTTGCATAGAAACAGAGGTGGGAGGGCAAAAAGAGCATTTATTTGTTCATATCGAACAATTTGACATCAGTTGAAGAGGGAAGAAGAAGAAGAACCTTTTCAGTGTGGGATTGGTAAAGAGAGTCGACTTTGGACTGGGAAGTGATGCTCTCGATCGATGGGAAGTCTTCTTCTTCTTCGCTGCTCTCCATTTTCTACTGATCTCTGCGTTTGCCTTTTGCCTTCGCTCTCTACGGAGTTGCTTCAGCCTCCGTAATACTGCGACCGTGTTCCTAGAAATAGTAAAACCTTGCCACCCCAACCGTTTCAACATTTTTCTTCTTCTTGTTGCTTACTTCATTGAAAGGGTTACGTGTGTGAAGACCCCAATAAAAGTTTCGGTTTAGTATTCACATATTTGGTGGCATTTTAGCTTTAAAAATGATGGCATAACCTTCTACTTTGATTCTTGATATTTGAAATCGATAAAAGTGATGGTTAAGTTTGTCCATCATCAAACATTTTAGTCATCGTGTAAAAAATCTCCATTAAATAAGCAATAACGTAACCATAAATTATTTGATGGATGAGCTAAACTAAAATTATTATTACGAAATCAAATTTTTAATATTTTATTGCCTACATAAAGCTATATAAGGAACTATTAGTGGGAAAGCGATTCTCTCCGGATCCCTTCTACCAAGTCCACCAAGACAACAAATCCGGGTCTTTAAAATTTGATTCAACAACTACAAACAAAGGCCTACTTAAAAAAATATAATAATTTTAGCCGTTGGATCAAAGTTCAAAGATCTGGATTTGTGACCTTGATGAACTTGGTGGAAGGGATCCGAAGAGGATTTCCGGATCCCTTTCCTCTGCCGACCAAAACATTGGCCCCTTGTCAAGTTCGATCATTTAGTACCATAGAAATGGACATTAATATTCCATGCAAATTTCACATAGCAGCATGAGCTCATACATAGTAAAGTTACACAAGCTCGAATTAGTACATAGCATTCCTTTCCCGTCGGAAAAAATGGGAAGAGAAAAGGGTAATAGAATTACACCGCCGACTTCTCTGTTACAGCACCATCTTTCAAATCGTAAGCAGCATCAGCGGAAGAGGTGTCGATGTCATTCAGACCCAATTCTTCATTTTGCTCCCATGACCTCTCATAATCCTCAACTGGAGTCAGCCGGCACCAAAGAAAACAATGTCAAGCATAAGAAAACAATGACTGGTGTCTTAATCAGCTAAACGAACGAACAAGCAGTACAATATAAGGAACTCGGAAAGAAAAATTAAAATAAAATGCAAATGAAAAAACTGGTAAGCATATGAGGTCTGCTTGTCACACAAGCGTTTGGCGGAGATATATGACTTGACATCAGTTTTTAATAGTGTTCTCCAAGTTCTACCGTGACTTAAATCATTATCGCACTTGAAGATTGTCTGCAAGAAAACTGTAGATCCGCCAGAAACAGATAACCAATTTCATTGGTGGTGGTGAACAAGGGAGCTAAAACTGCTTAGATGCCTACCAGGTTAGGTTTGTGAGACACCACACAACTTGAGATGCATACAGCGACACACAACTGATGTAGTTCTAAGAATCTTTTTGCAAGTATATGTAGTGACAATGTAGAAAAACAACTCGATTACATAGACGTTGCAGAATCTAAATGAACAGACAAAAAACCCTCTCTTGACCCAGCCAAGGAAAAAAAGTTCTCTCTCGCATGTCACATATATGATTGTCAGCGACTCAGCAATCATCCTCTACTATTGTTAAGTGTTAACTATGACATTTTTTAAGGAGGAACCTGAATTTTTAAAGTACACTTGAGATGGAAGAAAGAAGTCTTACACATCAACTGATGGTCATCTTTTATATCATCAGTCGCTGGTGCAATAAAAGAATTAGCCAATGCGTCATCAAGAATTAAAGTCCAAGGCTCTTCTAAACACAGAAGCTGCAGCAGAGGGAGAGAAGTTAAGGGAAAAACTGATATTGTCTGTGGAAAAAGTAAAGCCACCATAATTATACATAAAAAGACAACTACAAAAAAAGATAGAATAAAGCAAACCAATTTTCCGCAGCCATTACGAAAAAGAACATATCCATATTAGAAATTTATGCCATCTTTACAATGTTCGAATAAATTTCTGGCACAAAAATTTTAGTCCATCTAGTATGTTCCATGCATTGATGAAAAAGAATAATACAGAAATTAAAAGCTGTGACCGCATATTTCTTTTCTATACATGTTCCAGTGAAAGGCCATCTAGTACCTTTTTCAGGCTTGTGTGAAAATTTAGCCACTTGCTTTTCTTATTCTCATCAATACTGTCTCCAAAACTAAATCCATGCACTCTTTCAAGACCTGCAAAACAAATTATAAAGTCACTCTCTCAAAACCAGAACGCAGGTGAGCCATATCAGTTCCAGGTAATTAGAACAGATACCAAAGTTAAATTCCACTCTTTAAGGTACTCATAAGGAATTAAAAGAATCATAAACTAGAAAGCACAGCATGTCACGGACAGCACAGACAGAAATATCAGCACTTACTTTCACTAATTTTCATTATCAAGCCTTCAATAGTTGTAACAACCCCTCCCAGAGTGCCACTAGCCAGCTCCAACTCAATTTCTGGAATTATTACGCTCGCAGTATCTGACTGAGCCAGCATGATAGTTTGTCAGACGACGGTTTGCAACTTCATACTAAAAATAAAGGTATTAACATCTCATGGACTCGAAACCAACACACATGTATCACATCTTAAGTTGATATTGTTATTCTCCACATTCAGGATGCTTGTATGTATGTCTATAACCATATAAACAAACTAATCTGAGCAAACGAAAAAAAATCTTGTAATACACTTTTTGTCACATTCTTATAGTATATATCTGTACATCACTTAGTAGTTAGTACCACAAGCAATGGCAAAACAAAACCTTTATTTTTACAGCATTGATAAACCAATAAAACAGTCCATACTCTCCCATCTTTTCCACAATTTTCTGTCTGATGGAAATCTAAAGTTCCTTATTCTTGTGCAGAAATTGCAGCAAAATTCTCTAAAGATTCAGCCAACAACCACTCTAATCGGAACCATTAGAACTCAACCATGGGAAAGCAATGTCAAGTGCTACACGTTACTGGTATACGGGCAAATGGAAGTAGTATATGCACAGATCATAAGATAAAGACAAGATATGATAAGCACATGGTAATAGACATCATAAGATACAGAGGAGATATGATAAGCACATGGTAATAGACCTTTATTACATCACGACTAAGATCCTTAACATTCTTCACACGAAGAATAATTTTCTTTCCTTTCTCAGGAACTCGTCCACCAGGCTTCAACTGCACAAGAGAGCTTAATTTAACAACAAAGCATGGAAGAGAGAAAAAGAAAATAATCAGATCAGTACAAACCTCAGAATTGCGGTAACCGCAATTGTCACAGGTGGATGCCATGACAATTACCTCTTGAAAATATGGAATGTCTGTAAATGGTTAAGAAGAAAAAAAATATTGCAAAAAGAAGTTCTAAAGGTATCCTAAATTTCTTTAGCAACCAACTGGATTGTTTTAATCTCTCTTTGGATGTGTTCTTTTCCGGTTATTGTGGGATCTACAGATAGGCCATTGGTTTAAAGAGGAAAATCCATTTTCACAAGACTAAAAACAGTTCCATTTGATCAGCTATAAAAGAGAAGCAACTTATTGACTCAAATATCTGAAGACTGGTAAAAGATGCAAAGGGATACGGGTGACAAACATTCGAGTTTCACACCTAGCAGTACAACCTCCGCATGTTGATGGGAAAGTCATCACCTGTCAAACAGTGGAAATATTCACTAAATATTTCAAAATCTAATCTATAAATGCTGAAAAGATACAGACTTGTAGTGCATAGAACACTTAATAAATGTGTACCTCCTCTGGAGCTGTGTATCGAAACAAAGATTCAGCAATTTCAGCACTATTACTCTGAGCAATGGCCCGATGACCAGCTGCTGCTCCAATTGAGCCATGTGGGACTCTTTGTACTTGGTCAGAAGTGCTAACCGCTTCTGTTGATGCTGCATCAACAACATACCCTAATGTTTTTTGTTGCTCTGGAGTTCGCTCATAAAACCTTATACTCAATGATGGATCAGGGGATGGAGCAAACCTGCACAAATAACATTTTATACCCTCAGCCAGTGAAAGGTTCGAACAGAAAGCAACATTAAGTGTCAAAATATAGCAACAATGAAGAAAAATTCTGAGTCCACCACAAATGCAAGTCTCTTATGAGACATTAGCTGCATTCCTTTTAAAAGTGAATCCAACTTAAACTGTATATTGAATTATTGATAGAACGGACCCCAAGGACCAAAGTTATAACAAAATGGTTCTCTTTTCAAAATTGAGAATCTCTTACAGGTTCTCAACAAAGCTGTTTCCAGCTGGATCATCAAGAATGAAGGTGAAGGACAAGTCTGCTGTAGCACAGGCTCTCAACTTTAACAAAAACTGGTCCAAGGCTTCAGCAGTCTGAGGATCCACTTTCTGAAAACTCAAAAGACAGCAAGTAAATATTGAGAAAAAACTATATTATCTTATTAAACAATAACTGTAAGACGTATATGAACCTTGCGTTCTTCTTGAAGTGCTTGTAATTCATCTGCTGCTCGTAACAATATCCCCTCAACCTAAATTATCACACAAATATAAGATGTTTGGAAAGGGAGAGGTTCGGGTGGGGGTGGAAGGTAGGTACTTCTGGAAAAAAAATATAAGAAAAAAACTGAACTGAAGGTACAAATATATGAGAAATTATACACCAAAGACAAAACTACATAATTAAAAAGGTGATACAGGGAGAACCAACCACTTAAGCCTACCCATCCTAAAAGATAATAAATAAAAGGAATTTAATTTTCCTAGTTATCACCCTTGCACAACAACAACAACAACAACAAAGTCTTTTCCCACTAAGTGGGGTCGGCTATATGAATCCTAGAACGCCATTGCGCTCGGTTTTGTGTCATGTCCTCCGTTCGATCCAAGTACTCTAAGTCTTTTCTTAGAGTCTCTTCTAAAGTTTTCCTAGGTCTTCCTCTACCCCTTCGGCCCTAAACCTCTGTCCCGTAGTCACATCTTCGAACCGGAGCGTCAGTCGGCCTTCTTTGCCCATGTCCAAATCACCGGAACCGATTTTCTCTCATCTTTCCTTCAATTTCGGCTACTCCTACTTTACCTCGGATATCCTCATGCCCAATCTTATCCTTTCTCGTGTGCCCACACATCCCACGAAGCATCCTCATCTCCGCTACACCCATTTTGTGTACGTGTTGATGCTTCACCGTCCAACATTCTGTGCCATACAACATCGTTGGCCTTATTGTCGTCCTATAAAATTTTCCCTTGAGCTTCAGTGGCCTACGACGGTCACATAACACGCCGGATGCACTCTTACACTTCATCCGTCCAGGTCGTATTCTATGGTTGAGATCTCCATCTAATTCTCCGTTCTCTTGCAAGATAGATCCTAGGCAGCAAAAAACGGTCGCTTTTTGTGATCTTCGCTAGATTTGCTCCGGTCATTAGTGTGGATAAGTATATATAAATGAATAGAGATAGGAGAGCAAACACAAGATGTACGTGGTTCACCCAGATTGGCTACGTCCACGGAATAGAAGAGTTCTCATTAATTGTGAAGGGTTTACACAAGTACATAGGTTCAAGCTCTCCTTTAGTGAGTACAAGTGAATGATTTAGTACAAATGACATTAGGAAATATTGTGAGAGAATGATCTCGTAATAACGAAACTTCTAAGTATCGGAGTGTGGTATCGTCTTGACTTGCCTTATCTGTCTCATAGGTAGATGTGGCATCTTCTCTGGAAGTACTCTTCCTCCATCCAGGGGTGGTATCTTTAACTGGTGGAGATGCACAAGGTAATGTATCAATTTCACTTGAAGCTTACTTGTAGTTTCAGGCTTGGTCAAGCGCGATACAAACCATGTAGTAGGAGTCTCCCAAGTCGCCGAGCTAGGGGATCTGCTGAAAGAGGTGACAGACAAGGTAAGCAATCAGAGCTCCGGCTGATTGTTCACCTTCTCCCCATCTTGCAGCAGCATGAAGGATAAAGAGAAGAAAGATGAGAAGAGATGATATGGGATACTTTTGCTTTTGAAGAAGTAACTTTCCACAGGCTTATTCTTGAACTGAGCTGGAGGGTTTTTCTGGTTTCCTCCAGAGCCGACTGAAGAATTTGAGGGTCAAAACAAGTCCATCAAATCTAGAGTACGTTCGACCCTGCTGATATGGGATACTTTTGCTTTTGACAGAGTAATGGATGTATCGGCACGTGTGCTGTTACGCTTGTCTCCACATGCTTCCTTGTATCCTTCGCACTTGCCCTATCTGTTCCTCAAGCAGATGCGGTATCTTCCCTGGAAACATAAGATGTTGAAGATGAGTACTCGAGAGCAATGCCAGGTAAGTAATCAGGTAAGGGGTTCCAGGCAGTCAGTTCCTGGCTGGAAGCTTGATTCCAAGTGCTGACTGATTGCTCTCTTTCTCCTTGTCTTGCAGGTAAACAACAAGGCCAAAGGAAAAGACAGGGAAAAAGCATGATATGGGATACTCTTGCTTTTAACCCTGATGATATATGAGATATTCTTGCTCTAGTATAGCTTGTTTGCAAAGGTATTATCGGGGGGAAAGAAAGCTGAATATTTCGAAAGGCTTCGTTGGGAGTGCCCTCTCAAATATGAGGAAGGGTTGAACATTTTTGCAGGTCTGCCTGTCCGTTGGGGATGGAGGTCGACATATATAGGAGTCTCCCTAACAACAAGTAGTAATGCTATTCCTTTACCCTGCTTGGTCATAGCACGGTAGTGGGAGCTGCCAGCTTCACATGTTTTAACTCTGTCAGAGCACTTTGAAAAAGTGGTCTGTGCTCTCGAGAAGTCTTCGACAGAATGCCCATAATTTCCGCAAAGCTGAGTGTGCGTGTGACAGGTGCTGACAAGGCTAGAAAAGTAGGGGCCTCTTCGATTTCTGAGATCGGCCCTCGTGGTCTCTGAGCAGCCCAGCTTTTGAGAAAGCGAGCGTCTCTTCGATTGATTCGGAGAACGATGCATCTTCGATTTTTAAGAAAGCAATCATGATGGGGGTCTGGCTCTCGAGATTCGGAGAGCAGTGTCACTTCGATTTTTGAGAAAGTAATCATGTTGGGAGTCTGGCTCTCGAGATTCGGAGGGCGGTGCCTCTTCGATTTTGGAGAGCAAGCAATCTTGTTGGGAGTGTTTTCTCGAATGTGAGTAAAGGTGGGGCATGTTTGCTAGTCTACCTTGCCACGAAGCACAGAGGTTGACACACAGGGATTTTCCAATTATCCAGCAATGGTACTGTTCCTTTACCCTCTCTTTGATTTTTGAGAAAGTAGTCATGTTAGGAGTCTGGCTCTCGAGATTCGGAGGACGGTGCCTCTTCGATTTTGGAGCAAGCAATCTTATTGGTAGTGTGTGTTTTCTCGAGTGTGAGTAAAGGTTGGGCATGTTTGCTAGTCTACCTTGCCACGAAGCACAGAGGTTGACACAGGGACTTTCCAATTATCCAGCAGTGGTACTGTTCCTTTACCCTTGTGGGTAATAATATGGTAGCTAGACCTTCAAAATTTATGGGTCTAAACTTTGTTAGTGCTGTTTCTTTGCTATTCTTTTACCTTTCTTGGTCAGAGCGATGTAGTGGGAGCTGCAAGCTTTACATGCTCAATTTTGGCAGAGAACTTTGGCAAAGTTATCTGTGGTACCCATGAGCTAGTGTTGCGTGTGGGAAGTGGGTGATTGAACAGTAAGATTCATGTGTTTTATACTTCCTCAGAAGTCTTCGACAGAATGCCCATAATTTCCGCAAAGCTGAGTGTGCGTGTGACAGGTGCTGACAAGGCTGGAAAAGTAGGTGCCTCTTCGATTTCTGAGATCAGCCCTCGTGGTCTCTGAGGAGCCCAGCTTTTGAGAAAGCGAGCGCCTCTTCGATTTCTGAGATCGGCCTTCGTGGTCTTTGAGCAGCCTAACTTTTGAGAAAGCAAACGCCTCTTCGATTTCTGAGATCAACCCTCGTGGTCTCTAAGCAGCCCAGCTTTTGAGAAAGCAAACGCCTTTTCGATTTCTGAGCAGGCGCCTCTTCGATTTCTGAAGATCCGTCGAGTGCAGATTTTTATAGGGGCTGGCATTAAGTTCCAAAGCACACTTGAATCTCCACCAGTAGAAGTTCCATTCTTGCACTTCTAAGATCTTGATTTGTCCAACCTCTTCTCTCTTCAACACCTTTGAAAATGTCTGGCCCCTCCGACCGTCGTTTTGACTTGAACCTTGTTGAAGAGGCAACCCCGCCTTCTCCAGACAACATATGGCGCCCATCCTTCGTCTCCCCTACTGGTCCTCTTACCGTTGGGGATTCCGTGATGAAGAATGATATGACTGCTGCGGTGGTGGCCAGGAACCTTCTCACTCCCAAAGATAACAGACTACTTTCCAAACGGTCTGATGAGTTAGCTGTTAAGGATTCGCTGGCTCTCAGTGTTCAGTGTGCAGGTTCTGTGTCTAATATGGCCCAACGCCTATTTGCTCGAACCCGCCAAGTTGAATCATTGGCGGCTGAGGTGATGAGTCTCAAACAGGAGATTAGAGGGCTCAAGCATGAGAATAAACAGTTGCACCGGCTCGCACATGACTATGCTACAAACATGAAGAGGAAGCTTGACCAGATGAAGGAAACTGATGGTCAGGTTTTACTTGATCATCAGAGATTTGTGGGTTTGTTCCAAAGGCATTTATTGCCTTCGTCTTCTGGAGCTGTACCGCGTAATGAAGCTCCAAATAATCAACCTCTGATGCCTCCTCCTTCTAGGGTTCTGTCCAGTACTGAGGTTCCGAATGATCCCCCTCCGGTGCCTTCTCTTTCTGGGGCTCTACCGACTGCTGAGACTTCTCCTAAGCAACCCTTGTGAAGGCTCCCTCTTGTTTGTTTATTTTGACTCATGTATATGTACACATTTGTAGCTTATCGGGGATATCAATAAATAAGTTTTCCTTCATTTCAACGTATTGTGTTAAATACACCAAAACCTTCTTCGCTAAGTTCTTTGAATTTTCTTTTGTTGAAGCTTGTATGTTGAAGCTTTCTGAGTGGAGCATGTAGGTTGGGGTAGTGTTCCCTTAATTTCCCGAGTGAGGAAAACTTCTCGATTGGAGACTTGGAAAATCCAAGTCACTGAGTGGGATCGGCTATATGAATCTTAGAACGCCATTGTGCTCGGTCCTGTGTCATGTCCTTCGTTAGATCCAAGTACTCTAAGTCTTTTCTTAGAGTCTCTTCCAAAGTTTTTCTAGGTCTTCCTCTACCCCTTCGGCCCTGAACCTCTGTCCCATAGTCGCATCTTCTAATCGGAGCGTCAGTAGGCCTTCGTTGCACATGTCCAAACCACCGTAACCGATTTTCTCTCATCTTGCCTTCAATTTCGGCTACTCCTACTTTACCCCGGATATCCTCATTCTTAATCTTATCCTTTCTCGTGTGCCCACACATCCAACGAAGCATCCTCATCTCCGCTACACCCATTTTGTGTATGTGTTGATGCTTCACCGCCCAACATTCTGTGCCATACAGCATCGCTGGCCTTATTGCCGTCCTATAAAATTTTCCCTTGAGCTTCAGTGGCATACGGCGGTCACACAACACGCCGGATGCACTCTTCCACTTCATCCATCCAGCTTGTATTCTATGGTTGAGATCTCCATCTAATTCTCCGTTCTTTTGCAAGATAGATCCTAGGTAACGAAAACGGTCGCTCTTTGGTATTTCTTGATCTCCGATCCTCACCCCTAACTCGTTTTGGCCTCCATTTGCACTGAACTTGCACTCCATATATTCTGTCTTTGATCGGCTTAGGCGAAGACCTTTAGATTCCAACACTTCTCTCCAAAGGTTAAGCTTTGCATTTACCCCTTCCTGAGTTTCATCTATCAACACTATATCGTCTGCGAAAAGCATACACCAAGGAATATCATCTTGAATATGTCCTGTTAACTCATCCATTACCAACGCAAAAAGGTAAGGACTTAAGGATGAGCCTTGATGTAATCCTACAGTTATGGGAAAGCTTTCGGTTTGTCCTTCATGAGTTCTTACGGCAGTCTTTGCTCCTTCATACATATCCTTTATAGCTTGGATATATGCTACTCGTACTCCTTTCTTCTCTAAAATCCTCCAAAGAATGTCTCTTGGGACCCTATCATACGCTTTTTCCAAATCTATAAAGACCATGTGTAAATCCTTTTTCCCATCTCTATATCTTTCCATCAATCTTCGTAAGAGATAGATTGCCTCCATGGTTGAGCGCCCTGGCATGAACCCGAATTGGTTGTCCGAAACCCGTGTCTCTTGCCTCAATCTATGCTCAATGACTCTCTCCCAAAGCTTCATTGTATGACTCATTAGCTTAATACCCCTATAGTTCATGCAATTTTGTACGTCACCCTTATTCTTGTAGATAGGCACCAAAGTGCTCGTTCGCCACTCATTTGGCATCTTCTTCGTTTTCAAAATCCTATTGAAAAGGTCAGTGAGCCATGTTATACCTGTCTCTCCCAAAACTTTCCACACTTCGATTGGTATATCGTCTGGGCCTACTGCTTTTCTATGCTTCATCTTCTTCAAAGCTACAACCACTTCTTCCTTCCGGATTCTACGATAAAAAGAGTAGTTTCTACACTCTTCTGAGTTACTCAACTCCCCTAAAGAAGCACTCCTTTCATGTCCTTCATTGAAAAGATTATGAAAATAACATTTCCATCTGTCTTTAACCGCGTTCTCTGTAGCAAGAACCTTTCCATCCTCTCATCCTTGATGCACCTCACTTGGTTTAGGTCCTTTGTCTTCTTTTCCCTTGCTCTAGCTAATTTATAGATATCCAACTCTCCTTCTTTGGTATCTAGTCGCTTATACATATCGTCATAAGCCGCTAACTTAGCTTCTCTCACAGCTTTCTTCGCTTCTTGCTTCGCTTTTCTATACCTTTCACCATTTTCATCGGTCCTATCCTTGTATAAGGCTTTACAACATTCCTTCTTAGCCTTCATCTTTGTTTGTACCTCCTCATTCCACCACCAAGATTCCTTTTGGTGTGGGGCAAAACCTTTGGACTCTCCTAATACCTCTTTTGCTACTTTTTCGAATACAACTAGCCATGGAATCCCACATTTGGCTAGCTTCCCTCTCTCTATCCCACACACACTGGGTGATTACTTTCTCTTTGAAAATGACTTGTTTTTCTTCTTTTAGATTCCACCATCTAGTCCTTGGGCACTTCCAAGTCTTGTTCTTTTGTCTCACTCTTTTTGATATGTACATCCATCACCAACAAGCGATGTTGATTAGCCACGCTCTCTCCTGGTATAACTTTGCAATCCTTACAAGTTATACGATCTCCTTTCCTCATTAGGAGAAAATCTATTTTGTGTTTTTGACGACCCACTCTTGTAGGTGATCACATGTTCTTCTCTCTTCTTAAAGAAGGTGTTGGCTAAGAAGAGATCATATGCCATTGCAAAATCCAAGATAGCTTCCCCATCCTCGTTTCTCTCCCCAAAACCATGGCCACCATGAAAACCTCCATAGTTGCCTGTCTCCCTGCCCACGTGTCCATTTAAATCTCCTCCTATAAATAACTTCTCCGTCTGAGCAATTCCTTGCACCAAGTCTCCAAGGTCTTCCCAAAATTTCTCCTTCGAACTCTTATCCAACCCTACTTGAGGTGCGTACGCACTAATCACATTGATAAGTTCTTGTCCTATTACAATCTTGATTGCCATGATTCTATCTCCTACCCTCTTGACATCTACAACATCTTGTGTCAAGGTCTTGTCCACGATGATGCCAACACCGTTTCTCGTTCTATTTGTGCCCGAATACCAAAGTTTAAACCCTGAGTTTTCTAGATCCTTTGCCTTACTACCAACCCACTTAGTTTCTTGTAGGCACATAATATTTATCCTTCTCCTCACCATAACTTCCACTACTTCCATAGATTTTCCCGTTAAGGTTCCTATATTCCACGTTCCTAAACGCATTTTGCTCTCTTGAACTCTACCATTCTGTCCTAGCTTCTTCACCCTCCCCCGTCTAATAGGATCAAAGTACTTCTTTTGTGTGTCCCGTGTAAAGTTGATAGGAGCATATGCTCCCGAACAACTTTGAGTGGAGTCGTTCGAAAAGAAGTTTCTATCACCCTTGCACATATGCCTAAAATATGTGCCAAAGGCTAGAGCCAGTGACAAATAGATTTACTTTCAGTCAGCACCTTTTGCATATAAACAAATTTAAATCAAACCTTTACTCTTTCAACTATTACAGAAACGGTCCGCAAGTCCCAAAAGGGGGTAAAAGAAAATGATTGCCTTGACTGAAGGAAAACAGAGAACTTAAAGAAATCTGTTATACTCAAAATGCTTCAATGTACAATCTGTTGAATACAGACCACAAGTCATACAAGTAAAAAATGAGATATCACTACCAACCACAAAATTACCAAAAAAGAGAAAGGAATCCAGGTGAATGGAGCTAATCCACTAAGCAGCAATTTGTACAACTCTACTAGAGAAGAGGGGGAAGTAAAACAATACCGTTGACAGAGATCCACGCTGAGACTCCGGAGGAATCTCAAAATCCAATTCGGGAATCTGTGGACACAAATGAAAGAGAATGCACAACTCAATACATTTTTGTTAACTTATAGAAATAGATATTATAGACAATCCCACAAGCAATAAGAACAAATAAAATTAATCTTAGTTTGACTAATTTTGTAGCCTTTTATTATCGTTCTTCTTGATCATCTAGTAAGAGGAATTATAAAATAATAAATACGAAAAACATTATCATTTCTATTAGTGTCAATTAGCACCACAAAGGGATATATTATAGCAGACTGGAAACTCTAGGTCAAAATTTTTATCTGCAGCTCTTTTTTAAAAACAACAGATAAAATCTACAATTTATATTTTTTTTATACCACCTGATAACCTAATTAGCTAAGATCTGGAAGTACTTATGTACAGTATATACTCAACTCAACAGGATTCATTTATCTCACAAAGAAAAAAGCGATGGGCCACTACTGGGATCCAACCCCAGTCTCCCCAGCCAGAATGTGAAAACCTTACCACTAAACTAGCTAACTAACCAACATTAAATCAAAGTTACCACTAGAAACTGTAAGTCAGCATTCAACCAATTCAAGATTTAGAACTTTTTTAACAATAATGAATAATGATTATGTTACTCTGAACTAACAAATCCAATAAGCTCTCCAGCTAAACTCGGATAATATAAAGACAACAAAAACAAGTTATTTTATTAAAGTCAACATAATTGAAGATGTTAAAGAAACTGTACATTACAGAAATGTAAAATGGAAAAGAATTAATACATTGAACTTCAAGCAGGATATACTCAAGTACCTTAATAGTAGCAGACTCAGACTTCACCACTTGTCGATTAAGCATCTGCACAGAAAAAGTTCATCAATTCTGCAATCCTGAAGGAGGGGGAATGCTCAATACACTTCAGCGAAAATATCATGTATCGCATTGTGTAGTATAATTTCAATCTCCATTTCCATTACCGATCACTTACTTCAATCAAACCAGACTTCTAGAGCACATACTATTAGTTGTGACTTGAGATTATCATAAAAATGCACACACAGACCCAAACACGAAAAGCAAAATAAACATAAAGATAAGGATTTTGCGAGTATAACTTATTAGTGCCTTCAATACGATAAGTACTTCTTGTGAACTTAGCTAAATACCGCAAATTTGAGACACAAATGAGAGATAAAATGATCCATATAATGTCAATTAACAAAATTTTGATTAGTCTAACCTTGGGGTCGCCAGAAGGCACCTCCAACTGGTAGCAGCAACCTTTGGGTTGGAGCTCACCAGCAAACTGAACCTCATTATTCCTGCAGCAAAACAAAACATACAAGATCAAAAACTTCACTCAGCAATAAAAAATTGAACAAACTATCATCACATAGTTTGAACTTTTACCTCTCATTGCAATGCGGGCACTCGAAAGCCGAAAGCAAAATCTGCACACCAACAAACACTTTCATTTACACACAGCAACAACAGAAAGAACAAGAAATTGGCGAAATTGATCAGAATTAGATGCACACCTTTCTGAAGTGTGGAATCAGAGTCAGCAGAAAACTGGTAGTACCCTGAAATCAACAATAAACTTAACAAATCGGATGATAAAAATTAAAACAGAGAAGCCCTAAGAAGCAATTAAGAGGGAGATAGAGAGAGAGAGAGAGTACGTTTTCGCCGCAGCGCATGCAGAGGCTTTCGACTCGGTAGAGGGGGGCGTCGGAGTCGTCGGCGGAGACGGCTTCGACCACCGAGCGGACATCCACGATTTGGTTCTGGTCTTTGGCGTTGCTATTGCTATTGCCTTCCATGATTATCTTTCCCTGCGATTGAATGTGCGGGAGTTTTGAGGTTTTGGGTTGGCGGCAGAGGCAGAGGCAGAGGCGCTGTTGTTGTAAAAACAAGAAACTCTCAGTGTTGTTTGTTTGGAAGTGTCTGACCTACGCAACCCGCGCAAACAACCGTTGAGAAAGTGCTTGGAACCCTAACACCTCAAATTCACCTCCCATTGTCTTCTCCTATTATATTGGAATTGAAGTTACAATGCATTTTTTTTTTTTAAAGAAACTAATTAAAAGAGTTTGAAAACTAACTATAACGACAAAATAAAGGGTAAAGTGAATAGTATCATAATTGACTTTTTAGTGTGAAAATATGATTTTTCGTTAAAGTAAATAGTACTGGAAACTTTTCGTTAAAGTTCCTATTTTTTTAATACAAACTATATTTTACATAAAAGAAAAGAGGGGAGAGTTTAAACGTATTGAGTTGACAATAAAGACTTCAACCATCAGAACAATCTACCACTTGCTGAAAAAGAAAATAAAAACATTATAGAGCTGAGCCGCTCCAAATATTGAGGTAAAGTCTACAACTTAAAATATAACCTAAACTGAACCCACTCAAGCTCAAAAACTACTAGTTTTGTGTGTTAAGAATAGGCAAAAGTGAGAGAGAATCTTTGTTAGAGATTAAAGTGGAGCATGAGTAATGTATCACAATGTTTATTTTCGTAACTGTACTAGACAATGAATGCAGGTAAAGAGAATGGAGGGAGATTGGTATGATCACTTTCTACTTTTGATCTTGTGTATTGTTTTGAAGATACAAGCATATCTCTATAATAGAGGTTTTGATCCGACATCTTTTGAAATGTATGAAGAAAACTTTACATATCAAAATAGTAAAATCCAAATGTATACTATTTAAGTTTACAATCTTCGCGGATAATATTAACTTTCATTCTTACATTTTTAGTCAAATTATGTGAGTAGCCACATAGTTTTACGGCATTGTGAACATTTTTCAAGTTGTGACATTTTTACTATAGGTTTTTCAAACTGTGCTAATTTTGGATGTTCCTCTAAAACTTTTGCTTGTGTTTTGGGGTTTTGGGTTTATTGCTCTCTTACTCTCAGTCCCTGAAAATCGAAGAAAACGAATAAAAAAATCCGAAGACTGGTTTCCGCCATGAATGCAATAAGCAGAGCAATACACACTAGAATTTGCCTTCTCTTGCGCCCCTTAGGCCATCTCCAACCGATGGCTGGTCAAATGGCTCGTTTTAGTCCTCTGGCCCTCCAAGATTCTCCAAGATATTAATATTTTAATGAACAGTACATGGTCATATTTGCCTCCGTCTCCAACCGAGGGCCATAGAGCTCGTTTTAACCCTGTCACAAAAAACCGTCGCCAACCGAGGGCCAAACATAATTTTTTATTTAAATTTTAAAAACTACAATAACTTAAATATAAATTGAAAAATATATTGAAGGAAAGATTGTAGATGAAGTGAATAATTGAAAGAGCTTCACCATATTTATAGAAGTAAAAAAAGGTTTAAATTCAAAAAAAAAAAAAAATTGAATACAACGGCTAGCTGCAGTCAGCTAGCCGTTGTATTCAAATTTTTTCAAGCTATATGTGTCGATTATAACCAACACTAATACTAATTAATAAATATCCTAGTAACCGTTAGCCTTAATTCATTATATTGAAGAACAATTACTGTCGGTTTTAAGGTCATCTCCAACCGAAGAGTCCAGAGGGCCAGATGACCGAAAATAGCACGAAAACCGTCTCCAACCGAGGGCTAGGCCAGAGGGCTCTGGAATCTGGGAGGGCCCCACGAAATCTGAGAGGGCTGGCCATTTTTTTTTTAATGTTTTGTTATTTCTGTCGATTATAACCGACAGTAATACATTTATACTAACTAATAACATGTATTCCTGTCGGTTATGACTGACAGGATTTCTTAAGAAAAAATTCAAATGCAACGGCTAGTAGTTGTTGCATTTAATTTAATTTTTTTACAGTTTTATTATTTTTTTTATTTACAAAATTTTTCATATAACTTCTATTTTTTTCCTATAACTTATATTTCACAAAATGTATTTCATATTTTTTTTAAATTCCATTTTTTTCATATAACTTCTATTTCACAAAATTTGTTTCATATTTTTTTTCCTATAACTTCTATTTCACAAAATTTGTTTCATTTTTTTCCTATAACTTCCTAAGCCGTTATACAAAATTAAATTAAGCCATTTTTTTGCACTTAGCCGTTGGATTTGAATTTAAGTTGTAGTTTTTAAATAATAAATTATGTTTGGCCTCTATGGCCCTTTGGCCCTCGGTTGGAGACAATTTTTTGTGAAATGGCTAAAACGAGCCATTTGGCCCTTGGTTGGAGATGGAGGCAAATATGACCCTGTACTGTTCATTAAAATATTAATATCTTGGAGAATCTTGAAGAGCTGGAGGGCAAAAATGAGTCATCTGGCAAGCCATCGATTGGAGATGGCCTAACCGACAAGAAATCCAACACTTCAAAAAAAAAAATTGGCCAGCCCTCCAGCCCTCCCCGATTCTATGGGGCCTCTCAGATTTCAGAGCCTTTGGCCTACGTGGGTTGGAGACGATTTTCGAGCTATTTTCGGCCCTCTAGACGGTTGGAGTTGGAGATGGCCTTACTTCTTCTCCAATCCCACTTCTCCACCACCGCAGCTAAACCCCAAACCCCAAACACTCACACCGTCACTAGACTCCGCTTCAAGTCCAAACCACCGCAGCCGCCGCCGCCAAACCCCGATTTGCTGCCGCGCCCGACCCAAGTCCCCTTCCAGCCAAAGGTCGCCAATGCGGTGCGCACTCCTCTTCACGTCGTCCGTACCCCTGATGGCAAAGTCTTGGTAGCCACCGTTCTCACCTCCTCTTCTCCCTCTCCGGCTAATTCTCTCCGGTAAATGTTGAATTCCGAATTCGATCACTGTTTCTGCTATTGGTATTATGCAAGATTTTTGAATTTTTTTGTTGGGTTTTTTTCAGGATTCCCATCGTCTTTGAGGGCGACTTGGCTAATACTGCTGATTTGCATTTGAAAGACAGTGACTTTGTGTTTGTTGCTGGGAGTTTGAGGTCGGATTTGGACCATTTGAATGCTGGGGAGGACCAGGGTCGTCTCCAGGTAAATTCTAGGGGACCCTTTATGCCGAGTTTCCGGTTTCTGTTGTTACTCGAAATGTGGGTTCATACGATTTCACTGAGATAATGCATTTGTTTAATCTGAGCGATTTTATAGTATACTCATTACTCTTCTCTTTTAAGTGTTTCATTTGGTTTGACAATTGTATTTTGAAGTCAGTCGGATGTCCTTTATGCCTCTGTAATCTCTCTGTGTAAAAGAGAATGCAATACTAGCTTTGATTCAAACTTAGTCAATTTTCACATAGCGCTTTTCGTAGTTTCAGTCTTCTTGCTAGTTTTGAGGCTTATATGACATGTTTTAGAAGCCAATATTAGTGTAGTTGCTCATACTTTAATTTAGTAAATGTGGGAGGTGGAATTTTTCTGCTATCATGCTTTCTTTCTTTCCAACTCGTTTCTTTTTATTGGTTATGTATACAGTTATGTGTGTTTATATGTATCTAAAAACTAAGGTCTAACCTTGTTAGGTTTTGGTGCATACCCTCTACTTTGTTGAAGAATCTTCACAACTAAATAAAAGCTCTAAAGCTGACAGACAAGAAGAAAGGACTACCGATCACACCGGTAAGTTTGTTCAAGTGATTATCAGCTCCTACTTTGTCACCTTATAGTACTTGAATAATAATCACACACTGAAGGATCGAGTGCTACCTTCTATGTAATATCGCAAAATGGAGATATGACATGCTGACTCACTGACACTAAAGTGCATGAATTTAATCTCATTAATCTGTACTTTAGTTGGCGTTGTACATTTATTTTCATTTCTGGGGAGGTTTAACCAAAAGAAAACATAACAAATGAGTTGTATGCTTACCTTTTGGTAAACTTAGAAATTCAAGAAACACGAGACAACATTTGTCCCCCAGAAAATATGCTAGGAAAGTACAAACATGCATTTGAGATTTACAACACTCAATTAGTGATTACTTTGATTCAAAATATATGGTTTATATCTGTTCAAAACATTTATGCTGTTCCTTTCATGTTTGGCATGCTCGCAACTTTGTATGATGTTTGTGTGCATTTTTCTTGTACCTTCCTCCATATATTGTTTATGTTTATCGATTTAGAACCATTTGTCGTAGCAGTTGTCAAGGATGATATGGATCAGTCATGGAAGAAAGACACCTTCTCGCATGGAAAGATTTGAAAGAGGTAGCAAATTTTATATGGGTTATTTCATTTGACTTTTCTTTGTTACACACTCGTGCTTTATATAAATGGGGATGTGGATTCTTTTTTTTCTTTTTTTGTAAATAGTTAATCGTACATTTTATAATTTGTGCCCAGGATCCAAAAGATGCAGCATTTGAACGGAAGAACAATGGAGAATCACATTGGATTAATGACAAAACTCCTGAATTGATCCTAAATAAGTCAGGTTCATTGGCATTTGGTAAAAAACCTATACCAGAGAGTCAGAAACCAATACCAGAGAGTCGTGAAAGTAATTTTCTTGGTCATCAAAAGATTTGACGTTTCATTTTTTTTAATGCTGGGTTGGCTTGATAAAATAAATGTTTAAAGTGTTTTTACTAATTATAGTCTTGTTACCGACGAAAAAGGAGGTACTGAATTGTTTTGCAGCCAGCTTGAGGAATGATGGGGACTGTACGTTAGGTTCTTGGAGTGATCTTCTTAGTAATCCAAAACAGTGGTGGGACTGCCGCAGTAAGAAGCTCAATGGATTGGTGACGATTCCTTGGAATGTCTTCGTTATCTGACTGATTTTACCGGTAAAAGCTTTTGACATAATTGTTTCCCTTACAGGTAAAGCCAAACTCCCCTGATTTCAAGCATAAGGAAGGCGGTCGTGCACTATGGCTTGTTTTGTCAGAACTTGAAGGCGTGGACACTGGTAAACGAGATTAAAGGTGAGCCTGCACAAATTTATCCCATATGTATTCTGTCATCATTTTATGCAACCATTGAAGGGTTATGGATTTTTCTTAGTTTAGTTTTGACAGTCAAGAGCATAGAGCACTCGAACCAACGGCACAATGCACCAAAAACTGAAAAGAAAAATGTCTTTCATATTGTTTCCGCCTATGATCAGTCATTGAAGTCGAAATATGATTCTAGGTGACCTCTGGCATCTGAGTAAACTATCGAAATATCGAAGATTAATGAATGTGAAACTGTACTTAAGTTGTATGTTAAGATTCTACACGTATTTTGAAACTTGTTTTTCATTTTGTGATTTGAGTTTATTTTACATACTCTCGTACTGAAATTTGTACTTTTGTTTTTTTTGTGGATTGTCTACCTTCCATTTCCATACTGTTTCCATCATTTCTTTTCCTATTTTGTGTGGTCATGGTAAATTACGTTAATATTTTATATTATTATTATTATTTTTTGTTTTATTATTTTTATAAAAAAATTAATATAAAATATTGACGTGACTTAATCGTGATCACACAAACAGGAAGGGATGAGAAGAGCATGAAAATAAGAGGGCAGACAATCCACCTCCTTATAGTACAGAGTGAATAGTTCTTGCTTATATGCAATGAAATAAAAAAAAACGAAAATAATAAACGAAATGGTTATGAAAACTCAAAACTCAAGACGAAATGGGTTATTTCTCGTACCATTCTTTCTATTTTCCCTCTTTTATGTATCTGTACTCTATTTTTTTAGATAAATATATAAAAAAGAATATCAAAAAAGGAAATAATTATTATATTTCTCTATATCACTCTCATATCTTTCTTGTGGGTGTGAGACTGAGACGGTGATTGTGAGTGGTGAGGTGACGTGTGAGGCAGGCAAATTGATGCTTTACCTCTCTTCATCTTTTTTATTTGTTTACGCTTCTGTTTTTGGATAAAAAACCTGAAATGTTTGTTATTCCATACAACGCATGTTGGAGAGCAGTTCTCACATGGCCACCTGAACTCTGCCACGTGTACGAGGCCGAATGAAACTTCCTACTCAAATAGGGGAGGGAGGTCCTCGTCGGATTCTTTTTGTCAGGATCTCAGGATCCTCAAATCACATCCGTTCATCGTATATCGTACGGTCAGAAATTATTGTAAATTTTTTTATTTAAAATTGAATATAAACAGTAAATGACGAAAACTGGCCGCATGATGCACGATGAACGAATATGATTGGAGGATTCCCGTGATCCTCACAAAGAGGATCCGACGAGGATCCTCTCTCCAAATAGGGAATGAAATGCATATTCGATCTTATGTTCGGAGCCTAAGTACCCATCACTCAATTTTAATTATACGGTTTTTATTATCTTATCTCACTAGCCCACCTCATAGAACTCAGAAAACTTGAACGGCCTATATCTCTTTCTCTCTCTCTCTTGAACGGCATAAATTTCAGAGTGTTTAAACTTTAGAGTGAACCTCAATTCCTCAAATAGGATCAACCTGATTAACGTTCATACATTAAATGATAAAAATGTACAAAAAATTCATTTAAATTGAGATAAAGATAATCACCTTGATTAAGAAAAGAAAAGAAAGACCTCATGAACCTCTCATGATCCCTACCTCACAGCAACCTTTCCCCAGAAAATCCCTATCACTCTAGTTTAAAATTAACTCCACATTTTAAAGTTCTAAACCCCCACATTTCTTCTTCCACACTTCTCTCTCTACTTTTTAAAACCTCATTAAAACCCCCTAACCTTCCGTTCTCTCTCTATCTCTTTCTCTCTCTAAAACAAAAACCAGTGCGGGAGGACAGATCATAGAGAGAGAAACAAAAGGTGCGCTTCACACATCAAAAACCCAAAAAATCCAACCCCTAAATTCGAAACAAAAAACAGCGAAAAAATCGAAACGCACAGCAGTAAGCAGAGAGAGCGGAAGGTTCCAGAGAAAAATGGGGCAGAAGGCGCTGATCTACGCGTTCGTGGCGCGAGGGACTGTGGTTCTCGCGGAGTACACGGAATTCAGCGGCAATTTCAACTCCATTGCCTTCCAGTGCCTCCAGAAGCTTCCTGCTACCAACAACAAGTTCACCTACAACTGCGATGGCCACACCTTCAATTACCTCGTCGACAATGGCTACAGTAATCTACTTTCCCTTTCCTTTTATTTTCCGTTTGTTTCCCGAGAAAATGCTGGAAAATCTCCTTTATGCTGCGTTGATTGTTTGATTTGTTCGTTTCGCTTGCTTGTGCTCCGTTTGATGTGCCTAATTGTTGCTAGATCTGCGCTTGATCTCGATTCTTTGGTTTTGCTTTGTAAATTTTGAGTTTTCGGCGCTGAATTTCGGTTTCTGTGCGTTGGAGTTCTAGATCTTGGATCTTAGGCTAATATTTTGAAGTGTGAATTAGTGAATTCAAATCTGCTTCCAATTTTGTCCAATTATCAAATGTGATTCTACTGTAGTTATTGTAGTTACATCTTATTGCATTTCGAATGTCGAAAATATTTCCAATCCCTTGATTTCGTGGATGCTGGAATTGTTAGGATATTTGAAATCCTATGTATCTAAAATCTGGAGTGTTTTTAACTTCTTTTTAGTGTCGGTTCGAAGGTTGCAGTTACGTTATTTAATTGTCATACCGACAGAAGTTTCTTCTTGTTGCAGCATACTGTGTGGTTGCGGATGAATCAAGTGGACGACAAGTACCTATCGCATTTCTGGAGCGTGTCAAGGATGACTTTGTTGCAAAATATGGCAGTGGAAAGGCTGCTACGGCTGCTGCCAACAGCCTGAACAAGGAATTTGGGTATTATACCCGACCAGATCATGTAAAATGCAGGCTGATTGAATTGTATCTAGTTGACATTGTTAATTTTGTTCTTCCGTTAATTGCAGGTCAAAATTGAAGGAGCATATGCAATACTGTGTTGATCATCCTGAAGAAATAAGTAAGCTCGCAAAGGTGAAGGCCCAGGTTTCAGAAGTTAAAGGTGTTATGATGGAGAATATCGAAAAGGTAGACAGCATTGGTTTATCTGTATCGCTCACCTGGCTTGTATACGATTGGTTGATATGGATGGGATACAATATTATTGATTCTAGTTAGTAACTGCCTGAGCTTCGCACATCCATTTATTTCTTAATTGTTTATGTCTTTTGGCCATTTTATTTATTTCGAATATGGGATATAGATAGAATTGAGGGTTTTCGCCCTGACTTTAGGAAGAAATGCTCTTCAGTAATTGTTGAGCATTTAGTTGTACACAGATCCGGACACATGTCCTTAATTGAGCACGTGCAATCTTGTGTGTGTTGTTAGAACCTAAACTACTAACAGATCAGGCAATGTGGAACAAGTAATGATAGTTGGGACTTGGGAAGGGGATGTGGCATAAGTCTTGAGGATAGTGGTTCATTTGAACTTTGTTTCAATGTTGAGCCCCTCTTTTTTCCCGGTCACAACTTTCTGTATTCTTCGTGTATATGAATAAATTCATAATAATAATGTTGGTGGTATCCAATAGCAATGTGTCTGTTGAGGTGTTATATTTTACATGGGCTATGTTCGATCATTGATTCATCGTTGATTTTGGGTGTATAATATATACATCCATTCTCATACAGACATAGAACAAAGGTCATACTTGCGACTTGTTTGCTCGCGGTGTCTTTTTCATACCTTGGATCTATACACACTGTAGGATAATCTTTCTTCTCATATGTTTGTATTGCATTTTGATGCAGGTTTTGGATAGGGGGGAAAAGATAGAGCTTTTAGTCGATAAGACTGAGAACCTTCATCAACAGGTCATATCTCGTTCTCTCTCACAATGGCATGCCCTTGTTTAATAAATTGAATAGTTATTTGTAAAAGTGTTTCCCAGTTGGATAGCATGCCACCCGCATAAGTCCGAGCACATTGCTAATGTACAATGTGTGGTGTCTCATTCTAAATTGATTCATCTTCTCAAGAATTTGTTTACGTTGAAAGAATCGTTATTCTGTGTTCCCTGCTTACAGGCACAGGACTTTCGGACTGTGGGGACTAAAATGCGGAGGAAGATGTGGCTGCAGAACATGAAGGTGAAGCTGATTGTTTTGGGAATCCTGATCGCCTTAATCCTTATCATAATCATGTCTGTCTGCCACGGTTTCAACTGCGGTAAATGAGCCCGTTGCCGTTCTTAAGAAAATATTTTCGCCTTGTCACCAAACTTTTGCAATTATATTGTAGCATTATAAGAGAAAGATCATATATCTGTTGCAACTCTGTACTTAGTTAAAAGTAGTGATTTTCAGATGTGGCACGAGTCGGAAGACGTATTTTTTGTGCGAATGGACTCCATATATTGTGTTACTATGTTATAAGAAATGAGTGCGTTGCTTATAAATGAAGTGATATTTTCTTTGCAGTGGGTGAACAGATAGTCATTGGTTTCCTGATCGTAGTTCTATTTGCTCACTCATTGGTTGTAACTTGTAACCTACTACCTTTGAACCCGATAATGTCGAAAAAAGCTAACAATTGATCTTGCAGTATTGGCACGAGACACCACGTGACGGTGAATTCGTGCTATGCACCGTTGGGGCATAAGCGCCTTCTTGCTATCCATATGCGAGGCGCCGTAATCGCATGAGCGGCTATGGATTGCACTACTTTTGGTAGGGATATGTTAGGGAGGCGTGTGAAATAACCTTTATCGCGTACGAATAGCAGATCTCTTTTGACACCACATGAACTCATATGTATAGACTTGTCAATAGATTGGATTTTAACTCGAATTTAATCTGAATCTGATTGTGTGATGGTGGTTTAAGATTTTTATACAATAAAAATAAACTTTTATCCTATTTTCTTATTGTTCAACATGAAGTTTTTAATTAGTTTTCCTAAAAATATAATCAAAGAATGAGGTTACTAATGATATTTTAATCTTTTTTAAGTCTTAAATTAAATCCGATAAGGGTTCAATCCGATTATCCAAATTTGATGCTAATAGTATTTGAATCAACAAGTTATGTCCGATGATCCAAATAAGTATCAAATCTGTTAATATAATTATAAATGAATCTAAATTTGAATCAAGACCCATTTAGAGGTCTGAATATATATCACTATTTGGACTGACACGATTGAAAGCAGCATTGGGCCACCAACACGTTTTTGCAAGTGGCTAGAGTAATGTATTTGAGCTAGTTATCAAGGTTCTGTTCCAAATCATTATTTGAGAAAAATCACGAGATTCGAACTTAAAATTTGTTTTATAAATCTGGAAGAGAGTCCCACCAAGACCAATAGCTAGTTACTAAGTCAAATACATCCTAGGCTAAATGATTCTACGAAGACAAGATTATTTGAGTCGAGAAGCCATCACACCCTCTTCCTTCGTCTACGCACCACACTCCTCAAATCCACACCCATTCCCTCCTCCTTCCCTCCTCCTATCCTAAACCTCACTCTCCCCCTCTTACTTTTTACCCCCGATTCCCAGCATATCCCCTTACCATTCCCGCTCCCACTTTCACCGCCATCGCCACCATTTCCGGCCGCCACATTCTCCCACAGCTCCTCCCCATTCCTTCTCTTCCCAACCGCCTTCTTCACCTCCGGCAACGCCGGCAGCCATCTCGGCACGTGCAAACCCCTCCGGGAATCCAATTCCCGCGGAATGGGAATCACAGTCCCACCTTCCTCCGCACCCAATTTCTCTCCCCGGGGAATCGGTCTGGCGAACGGGGTTTCCTGATTCCGCCTCACGAAGCCGGCGAGATCGCTCAAAACACTCGAACCCAGTACGCAGTATCCACTTTCGTGGAGGGCGGAGGCGCCCTGGAATCCCTGCACCGACTGCAAGTCGTGGAGGGCATTGGCGAGGTCGAAGACGTTCGTTTTGGTGCGGTTGGTCATGGCTGCGTAGGAGGCCGAGGCGGAGGCTACGGCGCCGATGTACTTGACGGCGATGTGGGTTAGGGTATCGAGGGCGGAGGGCTTCGTGGATTTGAATCCGACCGATTGGGTGATCTGAGAAACCGCGATCCTGGCGATGGCGAATTGGAACTCTGGTGGTGTCGGGTTTTGGAATGGGGGTGTTGGGGTTTGATCTTGTTTTGGGGTTTTGCGTCGTGATTTGGATTTTGATTTTGGGGACATGGTGGCGGTGGTTGATTGGGGAGGTGGATTCGTGCTTGCTGGCGGTTTACAGGTCGAATCTTGGTGTTGGTTTTCTTCTGAACCCTAAACTATTGGAAGAAAGTTTGGCTTTTTATTAGTGGGTTTTTATTTTTGTTTTTTTGAGTGGGAAATAATTTGTTTTTCTTTGAGGTGAGAAGTAATTTTCACACGCGTTTTTATTTTATTTTCAAACAGTTCATGCTTATAGTTTTTGAAAATTAAATAATGTAAGGAGAATTAGGGTAATATAAAATCGAGTTGTGTAAATACAAAAATTTGATGCACCATTCTTTTGTTTTTGAACTTTTTCGAAAAGAAATAATGGTTTGAGTTTTCATTTATAATTCACAGAATATGGTTTGAATTAGGAGGAACAGTGGTGCTCTGCTAAGGGCATTCCATGAATGCTTCTACAATACATCTTGTTTGTACCATACTTAACCAATCTCGAAATTATTGAGCACCGGTCAACGTTATACCGTCAAAGACCCAGAAGAGTTTCCCTCCAACTAGGAGGCCAATCACAGCGCGACATGTGTCGACATCAGAAGCCAATCATAGCGCGACACGTGTCAACATCAGAAGCCAATCACAACACGACACGTGTCAATGTCAGAATGAAACTAGAAACTCTTTTCTATAAATAGAGATCATTCTCTTACAATATTTCCGAATGTCATTTGTACTAAATCATTCACTAGTACTCACTAAAGGAGAACTTGAACCTATGTACTTATGTAAACTCTTCACAATTAATGAGAACTCCTATACTCCGTAGACGTAGCCAATCTGGGTAAACTACGTACATCTTGTGTTTGCTTCCATGTCCCTATCCATTTACATACTTATCCACACTAGTGACTGAAGCAATCTAGCAAAGGTCACAAACTTAACACTTTTTGTTGTACCAAAGTCCTTACTGATTTTGTGCATCAACATTTGGCGCCGTCTGTAGGAACGACATTTATTCCCACTCTCTTCAGCTTTGCCAAGCTGGTTTCCACCATTCGTACACTCTCTTTTGACCAAGCATCCCTCTCCAATATGGGGAGCTAAGGAAGACACAACACACAGAATGACACCCCTCTTGCATTTGGTGCGAGGCAATGAAAAAAGGAAGAAAGATGGTTGCTCTTCAAGCTAAAGTCGATGAGCTAGAAGCTCAGAACAACAAGATAACAATGAAGAATGAGGTCCTCCATGAGCAGTATGAGAAGCTCTTTGAGACGCTCTACGAAACTAAACGTACTCAAATACGCGAGCTCGTTACCCCTGTAGACATCAACCATCTTCTAGGTGCCCCCCAACACGGAGGGTCACATTCCTTCGACATGGGTATCCTTGATGAGGAGCGAGCTAATCATTAAAACATTGATCAACATGAGACTTCTCTCAACTCAACTGCTTCGACCCGAAGCATGAGAAGTGGAGGAAGACACCTCCTTACAGAAGGAGTGGAATGATCGAAAGCCGTCTTTCGCGACTGTCGAGATTTCCTAAAGTAACGTCTAGACAATCCCATCCATATAAGCTCGAAGATCAATGACCCAAGAGTTTCTGAAAGACTCGGTCCCCTCCCATGTGCCAGGCCGGCTACCAATTTGGGGAATGGGCAACAAGTCCTAGAGAAAAACGAAGGTATAGGGGACTCAGAGATGTTCCGACAGATATACCTTGGAAGTCAGTACGGCGAGTCCAGGGAAAAATCACATGCTCTTGATCAAACCTTCATACTTCCAAGAGGAGATGGAGATTTACGAAATAAAGCTCAAGTGGTACATGACTCCACTCAGGACCTTCTTGTCCTACAGCTTCTTAAGGAAGTAAACAAGTTAAAGGCCGAACGACAAGCTGAGATACCTGATTGAAACCAACCTAGGTCTGGCCCTCTTACAAGGAGGATCCTCGACACCTCCTCTAAGTAAAGACAAAGCAGAAGCTTGGCTTGCAACTCTATACTGGAAATGAGGACTCGATTGAACACCTTAACCTTTTTGAGTCCACCATGGCATACCGGATGCACTCTGACGAAGAGCGATGTTTTCTCTTCCCCTCTACCCTCTCTGGTGGAGCCCTAAACTAGTATTGCCGTCTTACACCTGAGATGGTAGACTCATTTGAGGAATTGAGGAAACTGTTTGTTTCTCAACACATTTTCCAGACCGATCGCTTGCACTCCGTGGATGACTTGTACATTATTTGCTAGAAGCCAGATGAGTCATTACGTATGTATGATGGCCGCTTCAGCCATGAGTATTCTCGTTGTGCTGAGGCAGACGACAAGACTGCCCTCAAAGCCTTCACGGCAGGGCTACGTGACTGTTTCTTTAAGTACATGATCAAAGTCAACACATGGAAAACTTACTCTGAGGTGATGGCCCAGACTTATAAACATGCTTTCGTTGAGGCAAGTACATACCAAGGGAAACCCCCCACAGCCACCCCTTATTAGCAAGTAGGGAGTAGAAGCCAGATCTAACCAAATGAGAAGACCGAGACCTTCCAAAGGGCAACAGTGCCTCCCTCTACCTTACTTAATACTTCGCCAAGTCAACAGATATATCAATCTCAGAGCAAAAGGAAAGATTTACATCCTCACCAGTCTCATTTTAGTAAAAGAAGTAAGAGACACTATTGCGATGACCAAAGGAATCACCACGATAATGCCCGCCCCCAGGCAGTCAACACAGTGGGCCAAGCACGTGTCAGGACAGGCCCTACCTCGAGGTATGAGACATACACACCTTTGAACACCACATGCGTGGCCATTTACCCCAGCATAGCACACCTGATACCGAAGCCAATGCCGAGGCAATCGGGTTACAAGCTTACGAAGTGTTACAAAGTATGTGATACTAAGTGTTACAACTAACATGGTTCACATATCAAAAGCATGGATCCCTTCATGCATAGCAAAACATTCATAAGCATCACCCATATCAATCAACATAAACATTATACATTCCAACACATTCATACATAAATATCATACATTCCAACACATTCATACATAAACATCATACATTCCAACGCATCCATACATAAGCCAACTGTGCTTCGAAAGGGTTCAACATATTTTGTGTCTTCAACACTTGCTACAATGTGCCTCGACATCTTGCCCTTATTCTCACCAACCAGGTGATGAAATGTACAACCCGCACTCTCCTTCATGCCACCAACCAGGTGATGAAATGTACAACTCGTACTCTAATATCATTTGGCAACTTGCCACTCATGCCACCAACCAGGTGAAGAAGGAACTCATCTTCATGCCACCAACCAGGTGATGAAATGTACAACCCGTACTCTCCTTCATGCCACCAACTAGGTGATGAAATGTACAACCCGTACTCTAATATCATTTGGCAACTTGCCACTCATGCCACCAACCAGGTGAAGAATGAACTCATCTTCGTGCCACCAACCATGTGATGAAATGTACAACAGGTACTCTCCTTCATGCCACCAACAAGGTGATGAAATGTACAACCCGTACTCTAATATCATTTGGCAACTTGCCACTCATACCACTAATCAGGTGAAAAAGGAACCCATCTTCATGCCACAAACTAGGTGATGAAATGTGCAACCCGTACTCTCATTCATGCCACCAACTAGGTAATGAAATGTACAACCAGTACTCTAATATCATTTGGAAACTTGCCACTCATGTCACCAACCAGGTGAAAAAGGAACTCATTTTCATGCCACCAACTAGGTGATGAAATGTACAACCCGTACTCTAATATCATTTGGCAACTTGCCATTCATGCTACCAACCAGGTGAAGAAGGAACTCATCCTTGTGCTACCAACCAGGTGATGAAATGTGATGAAAGGTGATGAAGGAACTCACCTTCGTACCACCAACCAAGTGATGAAAACAACTCACCATTCATTTCACCTACCAGAAGACGAGTGGTACAACTTGTACATGTAAACTCCTAGCATTCACAAATAATAAAAAACCTTCAAGCTTGACAACTCAACTAGGGGAGCACTTATGCCCAACAAGAGTTATAGTCACCAACAAAGTCTTATTGCAAGTCAACAACAACTTCAGTGCATGGCATACGAAGATCAAGCTATTCAGCCCTCTTGCATCTGCTTCAGACATTTCCCCTCTGTAACAATGCAAACACTACAACTCGTAGAAAACTTCACACTCTTGATCAAGACAGTGTGAATCAAAACCAATTTATGGTGCCAACAAGAGCTTCATCAAAGGAGTTCAACCATAATTCTCAAAAACTTCACACACTCTTGATCAAAACAGTGTAAAGCAAAACCAATTTATAGTGTCAACAAGAGCTTCATCAATGGAGGGCAACCACAATTCTCAAAAGCTTCACACACTCTTGATCAAGACAGTTGTGGGGCCAAAAATATTCACTAGGCGACACGTGGACTTTTGGACAAAAGAGGACAAAAATACCCTCGAGGCATACCGGATTTCCTACACGCGAGCAGTAGAGAATCATTTTTTCAACCAAGTCAAAAGTGCCCAAAATAGGTATCAACTTAAAGCCTAATTTATTCATATATTTCCCATTTCATTATTTAGCTAATCAATTAGCTAAATAATATACTTATTCCTTTCATATTTCATAAAATCATAATAATTGACTAATTAAGGAATTAATTACCTAATCAATCCCTTAATTGTCAATTTGAAACATCCATTCAAACCTAAAAAATAGAATAGGGCCGGCTACCCCATTCAAAACCTAATACATCACCTTTTTTCTACCTTTTCCATCATCTCTTCCCTTTTATTAGCCAATTAACACCATAAAGCACAAAAACATTTCCTTTCATATTTAATTAGCCAATTAATTGGCTAATTAAACCTAAAATAAACCCTAAAATCCCACCTAGTAGACCGGCCACATTCCCTCTCTTTTGCTCCACACCTTTTCAAATTTCTTCCACTATATTAGCCAAATAATGATAACCATTCAATTGAGTAACTTCCCATTTATTTCTATTGTATTTTATTAGCCAATAAAGTGGCTAATAAAACCAAAAATTCACCCAAAAGCACACAAAGGGGCCGGCCCTTTTCTTGAAAATGTGGACCAATTTGGTCCTATAAATAGTCACCCATTTCTACCAAACACTCATTCCAAACCTCTTGCAAAAATTCC